CCGACAAATTCTTCCAGGACTGAAAGAAGAGTGTAAACAGTTCTCACAGAAAGGCTAACCATTTGCGGAGTAGACTGTTCTTTCCGCTGCACATGTAGCTCATCCTCTGCCTTGATTCTCAAGAATTTGGACAGGAGGCTACCCATGTCAACCTGACCTTTCTGGGCAGTAATGCGAATCCACTGTCCCAAATCAAATGAGCCCCTACGATCAGAGTAACAAGCAAGATCCAGAGCAAGCCCATTGGTGAATCCAAGCAAATATTCCAGCCAACCGAAGTTGACAGCGTGCTCATATATCATTGCAGTCGATGTGGGGTCTTGGCTGAAAGCTGCAAACAGTTGCTCTGAAACCCATTGCCGATCCTGACGCCAGGCTCCATGGAGAGCAAGCTGGTAACCATCTTCTTGTTTTGATATGAACACCACGAAAGTTCGAAGAACGAAGCTTTGTTGAACATTCGACCAGGGCTGAGGAATAGCCAACGCAGAAATAAGAAAAACTGGAAGGTCAAACTGCACCACAGCCTTGATAAGCTGCTGGCTTTCTTTCGCAGCCCAGTGGGCCTGAGAAAACAGCGCCATATCAAAGACCGCTTTTATGGCATCCATGGACCGAAGAGGCGACTTAGCTGCACGCTCTCCCTGCAGCTTGACCATCTCTGGGGCGTCATCGAAGAAATCAGAAGGGAATGTCGCGCGGAAGTCGCGAATCTGAGATGGGTCGATACGGGAAGCAACTAAAGCCGTCAAGAATGAGATTTGAGTATCACGGTGATCCCATTCACCACCCCAAAGTTTCTGCACGTCCAGGGAAGGATTATCGACGGCGGCAGCAGAAAGCGCTGTATACAGCTTTTCAAATTGCCCCGGATCCACTCTCAGGCCCTCTCGGTCAAATTGCCGCAACACGAGGGACCAGTTGAGCTGCTTCTCGGCATAGGCGCTGATAAGAGTCTCCAACGAAAACTGTTGCCAGTACTGAGACAGAATCATGAAGAGGAGAGCACTAGCAAGAGTCTCTTCAGTCCAGCTGTCTGGGCCCGCCGCATTGATCAACTCGGTGATTGCCTCAACGTTGCTCGTTGCACGGGGTCCTTTAGAGTGGAGCTGTCGCACAAGAGTATAGCGGGGGTTCACGAAGTTGAACATTTGCAAAGCGGAGGAAACTTCGAATGGCATGTCCATGCCCAAGGTCTGATATCGCATGTTTGCTGCGTAGACCAGCTTTGCCTTAACATCGTCTGTGAAGTTTCGGGGAGGGTAAAGGATGAATCGTTCAATCGTCATCCCAAGGAAGGAGTTATGGAAATCCTTGTTTGCCTCGGAAGAAGTTGAGAGGCTGTGCAAAAACGGATTGAGGGAGTTCGAGAGAATCGCATCCGCTGAAAGGCGCAGAGGGGTTAGCAGGCTCATTCGAGCGATGCAAGGACGAGAGGAAACTTACCCTTGGCTCGGAGATCAGACTTGTTTGTCATCTTGAAAGCCAAAGCAAGAGCAACCTTCACAATTGGATCCAGACGGAAGTGATCCAGGAAGGTGGACAAATCGAAATCACGGAAGATGTCACCTTCGGATGTATCTACTGTCTCTGCGATCTTCTGGGATTGTTCTATGTCCGAGGAAACTTTCTGCATTTCCTGCACGAGAAGGGGGTAGTTGCCCGCATTTTCGACGGACTTATTCACTCCAGGAAAAATCTGGGGCGCGTTGCCTGTAAGAAGGCGGCGGAAGTATTTCGAGAAGACCTCCATGCCGTTCGATGTCACAAGCTGAAGTGATATAGGATTAGCCTCCTTCAGGAAGATAATTGGTGGAGCCTGAATTTTACCTTATGTATCTGAGCAGCCTTTGTCTCCCACTTTTCTTTGCCTTCCTTCTCCGTGATTGAGTCTAACAGGAGGAAGACTTGTGCAATCGAAATCTTGGTAAGCGACGATTGACTAGAATGGGCAGCTGCCGATCCAGGCTTGTCTGAAGCGAAGCCCGTGGGTGAATTCACAGTTGTGCCGGACGACAGTGGTGAAAAGGCGACACCTCTGGAAGAACCCGGCCCACCACCTCCCCCTGAGCCTCCACCACCCGTGATGGAACCTGTTGCTGAGGCGAAATAGGACCCAGCGGATGGGGTGTGTGATCGAAACTTGGGTGAAGAAAGCGACTGGGCTTGCTGCTGCGAGCCAGTCTGTAGCGAGGTGAATGGCGAGGGTGCGGGCTTGGGGCTACCGCCGGAAAGACCCCTGGTGGAGCTCAGAACGGCAGAGAAAGATGATGGTGTAGAGACCCCAGGGCCTGCGTCCAAGCCCCGGGAGGAAGCAGAGGGAGCGGGAGCGGAGGAGAGGTTGGTCGCGAGAGGAGTTAACCCACGACGAATGCCGGACTGCGACGCGGACCTACCCCAGGCACCAATCTCAGTCCTGGTCGAAGAAGGTTTATCGGTGCCAGAAGCAATCGACGATTGGGCGGAAGGGTGAGGGGGAGGGAAGGTCATCTAGGAGACGCGATCATTTGATCTGGAGGGTCCAACGACAGATTTTTAAGCGGGCGGGCGCAGTTGACACGATCGATAAGATCGACCGAAGGATAATCTGATGCGATATCGTGAGAATCGGGGGGTGAAAGAAGAGGGTTGGGGAGTGGAATGGGAGAATGGATGGCGATGGAGGAGAGGTTGGAGGAATGGTGCGTCAAGGTGCGAGGTGTCGGAAGCGTTGGTGCCTCAGGTGTCACGAGGGAGGAGCTTAGGCGTGAACATACACAGTTGGGCACGTCGCTGGCCAAGATGTCAAATCATTCTTTGGGGGTCCGGAAACTGATTGTCTCGTTTAATTGCAAGTCTGAGTACTTTCAGGGGGCCAAACGACCTGATCCTCTCCATTATCCACAGGAGTATCCATCACCTCTGCTCTACTATGTACATATCCCGTTCACATGACCTGCCGTGTGTGCTGAGTCATCATTGTCCCTCCTTGCCGAAAGTGGAACAAGTGGGCTTCCCCGGGTTTACTCACGCTGCGGACCCCTTCGATACTTCACTTTAAACTCTCTTTCTCCTCAATTTTGAGATCCCATGTGCTTATGGAGGTGTGATGGCTAGGCCGTTTCTATATCCTTCATAAGCGAAACAGAAATGCATTCTGTCAGACCCTACTCTTCGAGTTGGAAACATTCATGCTTACCCTAACTAAAAGCCATTTACAGCTTAGTCTTTTCTTGTGGTCATTGAAATGCTTCTGTTCACCTATGTCGTACTAGTCCGGCCCCTATATATCTGCTGAATTCCCGAGCTTATCGCCTTCACTCCACTTCATATCTCAATTGATCCATAGGAACTGTGTGTAACCCTAGAGATGAAGCCCTCAAAGGCTCGACGGTGTACCCAAGACAACCTTCGCTTATAGCCCTATAGGCATACTGTGTAATAGGGGAACACCAGTCCATAATGTTAGGTTTATTACTATAAGGTCTTTAAAATCCTCTGTTGGAATTTGATGTCTTGGGAGAAGAATTCGAGTAGCATATCGAGGCCATTTGGCTTCTTCAGGGTGAAATCGAATGGGTAATATCATTGTTGGCTATACCTTGAGTACCATTCAGATATGTACAATCTATCTAGCCGTCAAAAAACCGGTTGCATTGGGAACAACTTTTCTCACACGGGATAGTTACATCGAAGTCAGTATCATTCATTGAATTGTGGGTGTAAGGGATAATCTACCCAATTCTCCACCATGAGTCTAACCTTTGCTCACCGTTCTCTGCACTTTCTACGCTCAAATTAAGACCATTGGTGTGGTTGTCGAGGATGCACCTACTTTCGGCCTGGGCGTGGCTCTAGATTGAGTGCTTACCATGCGAATACATTCGAAGATTCAGAGAGCCGGCATAGTCTGGGTTTTCCAGCGGAAGTAACATAAGATACAGGGTAAAAAAAACACTTAAAGTTCCAAGAGCCCCATAGAAAATGTAATGATTTCAAGCCTGTTGACGAGATCGAAAGGATCTCACCCCGTCGTGAACATAGCCGCTCTAGGGATCATGAAATAGCCATATCGGTCAGCTTTGGGGAAACATTCAATTTGAATCCATTTTTTGTGATGACTTGCCTAATTCTGCGAGCATCTGGTGCCTGGGTAGCACGAAGGTCTGTGATTCATGCAGATGCGTGTTTGGGGACTATGTATAGATAAATCAAAGGCCATGTATATCATATGGATGGACATCCAATTGGAGTATAAAGGGAATCATGACCGGAGGAAATTATTTCATGAAAAATTACACCTTCCAAGTAGGGTTCCAACCATGCTGATTACTTTTATCCCCCTGCTCATTAGGTCAAACAAAATCAGGTGCCTCGAGTGCCCACTTTGAACCCACCTGGGCAGGACTGTTTCCCCTAGTATTGAACAGATGAGGTCGGGTTATGAGGGTGCCCACGGGAGACAATGTACAGGAGACAATGATATATTTCAAATATGCCCATCTTGGTTTCGACTAAGACATAGGGTAGGTACTAGTGGCACCATGTCAGATGCTGAAATACAAGGAATTAGGCTCAATGGCCCAAAAAACACAAAATGGTAACATGACAACAATAAATTTGACCAAACATGTCGGAATACCCGAACCGTACCAGTTGACCCGATATGAACGCCAGAAAAGAGAATAAGTTGACCATATATGACCCCGTAAAAAGGGACTTGCGCGAGGGAAATCGTGTCGTTTCGAAAGAAATTCAGACAATGGTGGGGGAAAAAAAAAGAGAAAAAGAGGGGGGTAGATATGGGGAGTGACGGGGAGAATAAGAGAGAAAAGGGCCCTCAAAAGGCCAGTAGCATCGGGATGTAAGAAAAGAGGTAGAATCACAAAGTGGAGAAGAAATATAATCGTGTGCACGTAACCCGATGCTAGCTCCTCGGCCTGATCCAACGCCAACGCTAGTGTCCCAGTACCAATACCACAATGAAGAACAAGAAACCGCTCAAATGCCAGGAAATCAGACTAATCAAACAAGGACAAACAGTAACATGGTGTTGCCCACTGTGCTTTCGCAGTGTATGTCTGACTAGAGCCTTGGGCGGAGTTGATGTAGGTAGTGGTCGGCGTAGGCTCAATCTCCTGGACTGAGTACACTTTGTTGGGAATGGTCTGGATGTGGTCATCATTCAGCTGCATTTGCTGACAATATGGTGACGAGGCCCCTGCATGATCACGCCGTTCTTCCATCTTGATGATTCGAGGGTAGTTGGTAATGTCATCACGCTTCGACTGGGTATGGGCGGTAGCCATGCTTGCCGCGAGATTGCCACCAGTGACAGCAGTAGCATCAAAAGAAGTATCTGTTGCAGACTGATTGACATAGAGGAAAAACTCCATAACCGTTTGGTTCCACCAGCAGAACCAAGGCTTCTCTCCTGACTGAACGACCATCTTTCGTTCCATGTAATTTGACAAAAGCTCTGCTGGAATGTCTCGCTTCGAAGCAGAACTAGAGTCCAGAGCAGACTCAGGGAGAATGACAAGCTTGTCGATATAGGACCAGAAAAATAGGGCAGGACCAAGGTCTGTGTCGCTAGTATCCATAACCAAGCTCAGATTTTGCGTCGGAGTAGGAAGGATCGGTTGCTGAGCTCCATAAGAGAAGGTAGAGGCGGCCGTTGCAACGTCGTTGGCAAAAACGATGGACTGCTGGCCATCCGAACTTCCGACATAAATCTCGAAATCCTTCGGTTCTTCCAGGCAGCTCCAGACTTCCTTAATATCGTGATCCTCAACACACATGCGGGAGTAGTTTTGTAAAACAGAGGGAATCAGATAATGGCCGGTCGGCGCAGGTTGAAAGTTTGTTGGCGTACTTGTGTACGATGAGTAGTCCAGCTGAGCCGAGGCAGTTACCGTCACAATATGTGGGCCCTGCTGCTGTTGGGCTTGTGCCTTGCGGTCGGCCTCCTGGGCCTTTCTCGTGCCGAGAACACCACCAATCACACCACCGATGGACCCTCCGATCAACATGACTGTCGCAATAAGGACAATGGTCCAGACAGGAAGACCGCAGCATACTCTCTTTTTACCTTTCTGTTTGAGTTTCTCCTCGAATGCCATGATACCTGTGGTTGCTGTAGCACCCGTAGCGCCGGCCACAGCCGGGCCTGAATTAGGCCCACTGTTCGCGGATGTTTCAGGGATCAGAGCTCTTGATGATGTATTTGAGATCGGCTGTTCCCTTGTAGCCGTGCTTAGTTGCTGTTCTTCCTGTGGTGGTAGGTGGATATCAACAGGGCTGTTGTTGCCTTCCGCCAAGGTCTCCATCTCCATACCCGGAGGTTTAGGTACGGCTCCTGTAGGGTAGCGTGAATAAGGAGGTAACGGCTCCGTGTGCCCATCTGGTCCAATGATATCGCCCACGTCATCAATCCGTCGACTAGGGGGCGGCTGATATGGTGAGTTCAGACCGGGAAAGCCAACCGGAATTTCGTCGTCTATCCCTTCTTCAACAACATTCTGCGAGTACATTCCATATGGATGCTGAGGGCCACTTGTTTCGCCTAAGGGGCGATCGATTGGACGGATTGTCGAAGTGCTTCCTACACTCGGGGAGCGACTGACACCAACCTGGGGGTACATAGAGTAGGGATGGCTAGGCCCGGTCGCGCCGTTGTAGGGGCTGAGGGCGCGTGGTATAGAGAAGCGGGAAGAGACACTCTGGTTTCTTTGCACAGCAAAGGCAGGATTGTTTTGAGATGTGATGGAATTGCGGTTGTTAGCGAATCCTCCCTTTTGGGGCAAGCTGGATCGATGTGGTTCGTCAACCGAAGACTGGGCATCATCGGCGAATGGATCATCGTTGTCTGCTGCGGTCGCACCAACCGCTTTTTGAGATGGGTGGGTTAATGTAGTTGAAGAGGCGACAGAGGAGGTAGGGCTGGGTGCGCGCTCAATTTGGTCGACATAGATGGGTTCTAAAGAGTATTCGTCGGAGAAGACATTGGGGTTGGAGACGCGCGATGTGCGACCGAAGGACTGGCGAGGCATCGATTCATATTGCCCTTGAGACAGCCGTGGGTTTTGCGATGACCTCGATGCCGAGCGAGAATGGTCGGATGAAATGTGTCCAGACATATCTCCTTGCTCTGGCAGCCCTGTCGGGCCACCTCTGTGATTTCGATTCAATCCGGATTCCGTTCCACCCCCGAGAAGAATGGGTGGCGGTTATGAATAAGGCACAAAGACGGTATGACTCTTCCTCGATGTCGTGTGGAAGAGTAAGTATGCTGCGTTGGTGGTGGAGTGGTGAAGGGATTTGGTTAGATAGGGTGAAGTCGGAGATGAGGTGAGAGAGGGAGGGAAGGGGAGTGACCGAGTTTGAGACTTAGTGTGACGGCGGTAATACAAGGTCGGGGAGGGGGCGCCGTAGTGGGAGAATTACTATACGGATAAACCTGGAAAATAACATGTAAGGATCTTCGAAAGATGAATCCCATCTCTCTTTCTTTTGAGAATACTTTAGCTTATTTCTCATTTCTTGTATCTTTTTTTTTTTCTACCAAGACCCTTGCCATCATCTTCCCCATGGCCCTGAGAGACCCTTTGAGCGGACTCGATCGACTGGGACTCCTCCACGAACGCTATGCCCACTAGGGCCACCAGACTAGCGACTAGAGTCACTCTACGGCTGCTTGCTGTGGGTCTGGGCCATTGCCACTCACTTCTTCTCCCCGGTGGGAAAAAAGGGTTATTGGAATGGTATGAGCAAGAAACAAAAAGAAACCAACAAGAGGTGTTTTTCCCCATGCGCTCATTTTTGCATTTTGTTCCAGGATCACTCCTGTTCCTGCGAGGACCAGCGAAAAGTTTTGCACTTCCCTGCCACGGAAGCCTAGAACCACGCGAGATTCGGTCGTTGTCCGGGTCTGGATTCTCAACTTGCATCAGTCCAAACAGGAACAGTAGTCTCCAGCCAACGACACCGTGTGATTGTGGACCTGGCATCCACAGCCCTGCAGAGCCCAACATCAGGCCGTTCGGGTGCTTCTTGTCTACATCTTGTTCCGGTATTGTATTGCTTTGCTGAGAGAAACAGAAGGTGCTGCGCCGGGAAACCCCACCCTCAAACTCAATCTCACTACTTAGTTACTGTATTCGGGATTTTTAGGCATCATACCGGCCCCCAACAAGACTGAAGATTGGCTGGCGGATATCTCGGACCTGGTCTAAGAAAAGGATGTCTCAATTAGCGGGCTAATTGTTACCCGTACAACAAAAACAACGCTTTCAAACTGTAATGTCGTTAGCATGGTGGGATTAATACTAGCAATATGCTGACGGCACCACACATGTCCCAATTTTGAAGTGGTCTCTGTTTCTCAGGTGGGCAACCAACCCGAGATCCCCGCCGCAAAATTACGTCGGTGGGCGCCTCGCTAGGGAGATTACATCAAGCCTCGGATCCATGGAAACCCTGGAAGGTCCTTGGAAAGAAACGGCGCAAACTGCCAAGGCCGGGTAAGGGTATTAGAGTAGTTTTCCCGTAAAGAGCTGAAGAGGTTCACTCTGGTCGATATTGTCGAGCATTAGCGGAACGCCATGAAACCTAAGTTGGTTTACGGCGTTTCAGCCCTCCATGCTTGAATGAGTAGTGCAGCTTCAACGCGGGGCTCGACTGTGGTATGAGCAAACGCGTAACGTTAGGAGTGTCAAAGAATAGGTCCAGATTCTCTCCCTGTGTTTCCATTCGATTTTGTCAGTCTAGAAGGGTGGGTCGTGTATTGCTTTGTGGTTCATACACACGGTCCCACAGTATCCCGAAGTCCATGGTCGTCCGCCCAATCCGATTGCACGATCTAACCAGATGAAAAGTAGCCGAGCTGATGAAGATGTGTTAATCCATGTATATATCGGGTGATAACACCAGTGTATTCGTTCAGAAATACACCACATACCAGAACATTGACCTCCCAATTGCATTGTTTCTACTTGGAATATCCCACCATTTCAAGGTTTCGTGGGCCCTGGATCTAAAACAAACGAATACTGTACTTTTTTTGAATACTAGGTTCAATTGCAATCACATAGAGTCTGGTGTCAAATTTCCCCAACTTATATTATTAGCACGAATAACTAATTCATACTCGGATAAATATGCACCCACATGTCTGGGCCGGCATAATCTTCTTCAACCCATGTTATGGCCTCTAGATCCATATAGGCTCATATGGGTACATACCAGCTACTTACGCATCCGCTGGATGATCGAACCCATCGACTCACCCGCCCGGAGTGCTTCCATGGTCTTCTCATCGATCTCAAACCGCTCCTGACACAGCTCCACGGCTTGCTCGAGCAATGAAGGCGGAACAACAACCACACCATTTTCATCACCCACCAAGATATCTTTGGGGTAAATCCAAAGATCACCCTTGTACTGCAGCGGGACATCGATTTCCGAGGCACGAGTAAAGGTGTTAGAGCCAAGAACGGCAGTACCTCGAGCAAATACCTATCGAAACGTTCAGTCTGCGGGGACATTCAGAAAGGGTTGCCACGACTGAGATACACTTACCGGGAATCCCATGTCGCGATGCTCCTGTGCATCCCTCATACGGCCATCGATTATGGTCCCTAGGCTACCAAGTTTCTGGGCTCGAGTCGACATCAGACCGCCCCAGCATGCGGAGGGTAAGCCCTTGGGCTGCTGGATATACATGATGTGGCCCTCTTTGTTCGCGTCTGCAAAATGCAAGGGAGGCGTGGGGCCGGGACTGTTTGTCTCTACCATCTTCACAGTGATGGCAGGCCCGTAGATACTCGTTCCCCCACCCGGGGAGTACATTTTCAAGCCATCTAGGAAGCCACCGTATGGGTGCTTAAGCTTCACAAGCGCGTCGCCAATCTGGAATTTTGCAGGAAGTTGTTAACATGGCAAATTGGTTCTAGTAAAATTGGTCGAGGGATCGCATACGTCGCAAGTGGTGAACCGTTTGAGGCCTTGAAGGGCTTTGGAAATTGTAGTCATCTTGTGGTGCGCAAAATTATATCTGACGTCTCCGATTGTTGTTATCGGGAGTCCCCGCGCCGAGGCGCCGATCCACTGCGATTCGATAACACGGCCGAGTTGATGACCTGGTGAGTCACCTAATTGATCCAACGACTGAATCTGGAATTGTATCTATATTCGCTACATTGAGAGACCATTGGCCTTGAGTAATCACATTGCTCGTGAGTCAATTATCTCTCCTCATTTAAGTAACCTTGTCTTAACCCACTTTGATTTATCTCAAGCTCACCACCTCCGAGCAGACTCGCATTTACTTCCATTGATACCACAAGCAATCCAAGATGACTAGACAATTTGGAGTACCTGTGGATACGCATCCCGCGAAACCACCACCAGCGGCCACTTTCATAGGCCGCACAGTTCGTCTTGAAAAGCTAGACCCTCGACACACCGACGACCTCTGGGAAAGTATAGGACAGCACACGGAAGTCTGGGCCTACATCCCCGATGGGCCTTTCCAAGACAAAGAATCATTCATCCCATTCATAGAGCGACTCTCTAAGTCCCCTGATCCGTATCTATACGCCCTCATCGATGCGCCATCCAACAAAACAGTGGGATTTTTCTCACTGATGCGCATCGACCAGAAGAACCGCGTAGTCGAGATCGGCTACGTTGTTTTCTCGCCAATGCTGCAGCGTACGACCGCTGCAACAGAGGCGTTCTATCTTATCGCGAAGGCTGTCTTTGAGGATCTGGGATACCGCCGTTTTGAGTGGAAGTGTGATAGCCACAATGAGCCGTCCAAAAAAGCTGCTGCTCGCTTTGGGTTCACGGCTGAGGGTGTCTTTCGTCAGCATATGATGATTAAGGGCCGGAATCGGGATACGGCGTGGTTTTCTATGCTTGATTCTGAATGGCCTGCCGTGCGGGCGTCGTTTGAAAAGTGGTTGGATGCGGCGAACTTTGTGAATGGGAAGCAAGTCTCTTCGCTTGCTGCTTTGCGAGGGCAGTAATAGTGTATGGCAACATGTGATTTCTTGGTTGCTTGACCGTAGGAGCCTGGTTTTACATCCATGGTATAAACGGACTCAGACTTCGATCCAATAAAAGAAAAATATATAGACAGGTTGCATATTCCAACCATATTATAGACTTTTATTGATTCATACTCGGGGAGCCTGACTACTGGTGTAGTGTACCATATTTAGAAAACTCGCAGATTCATTGATCGCTCAAGTAGCAAAGGTATATGGGTAATGGAAATTTTAGAACTCAACTTAGGCTTAACCAAAACGTTGCTTCGCAAGAGTCTGCAACCAACCAATTGTCTCCTGCTCTTTCTCACGGTAGGCCTGAACACGCTCCTCTCGCTCTGCTACTCGTGCCCGAAGAATCTCCTCCCTACGAATCTCCCGTTCGTTCTTCTTGCGTTGGTCTTTCTCCTTCTCCCTCTTCAAAGCAGCGAGATCATTGTCTCCAGACCCCATAAGCTCCTCTTCCGGTGCAGCCTCAGGTGACGCGCCTCGAGCGTTTGCAAATTCGCGGTTAGCTGCTGCAGCTTCCCGGCGCTTCTCGAGCTGTCTCTCCCTCGTCCCGGCTTCTGCTCGGGGCGCAACTTCGTCTTCAAGATTCCGCACTGCCGATTTATGAGATCGGATGTCACTACGATACTGCTGTCGTGATTCCTCGCGCTCAGCAAAGGCATCTTCAGCTGCGGACTCTGTATGGATTCGTCAGCAGGCTATGATAATTCATTTGAGTAGGCAAAGCTTACCTCTCTTGAGTTCGAGGTCCTGCAATCTCGGTATTGTCGGCCCAGATTGCGTAAAGCCTCTTCCTGAGTTGAGCTGAGGTAGTGTTGGGCCATATTCGTCATCGTCATCATCATCTTCTTCGGCGGTTGGCGGTGCCTTGTTGTCCACATTTTCTTTCTGTTCATCCCGTGCATAATCCGGTGAGCCTCTCTTGGCCTCTGCGGGTGGAGACCTTTCTGTTATGCTTTCCCGGGCCCTCTGCAAAGTGGCTGGATCGTACCAGCCCTCAGCTAATTCCGCACGATTCCTGTGTCACGAATTAACGTTTGAGCTATCCATTATAGATGTCTTCTTTTCATACCACTTGTGAATAAAACTTTTCCATCTTCCTTTCACTTCCTCCTCAGAGAGATCTTCGATGAATATGCCTTTCTGGATGTCAAGGTACATCGCGAACATGGGTTGAAACACCTCCAAATCACGCCTCGAGAGCTCTCGCGCCTGCAACGGCAGAATCACGGGCTGTGCGGGTGCATCCTTGCTCCTGCGATCATGATGATCTCGGTCTCGATCGTGTCGACGGTGGTGGCGGTCTGACCTGTGCCGGTCGGATCGATGGGGGGAGCGCGAGCGCGCGTCATCGCGGTGTCGGTGCCGGTGGGAATGCGAGTGGCCATGTCGACTACGATGATGGTGGCGGCCCTTCTCATGCGTGGATGGAGAGTGAGATCTGCGGGAGGGTTTAGGTGATGACATTATGCTCATATTTGAATAAATGTTGCATGTAAAAGCGACTTCTGGATTGGAAGGTATTGCGCTTATCTTATCTCTTATCTTATCGTTGAATTCGGCAAGCTCCCATGCATTATTTATATATCCGAATTGATTTTCAGTTATTCAGAATTTATTAAACCACTAAAGTGAATAAGTCAAAGTTATTTGAGTCTATTCACTGAGTAAGTACGTAAAAGAAGAGAAAATTCCATTGTGATAAATACATCTAAGCGAAGAGGTATACAGGGAACCGACCCGAAACATCCCAGATCTAGCTGGGCGGAGCACTCTGCTCATCGTCGGCTGGCTTGTCATCAGTCGAAATGGCTGGAGTCGATGGCGAGGAGCTCTTGGTTCGGTTGGCGGCAGCCATTTGCCAGGCTGGGATAGAAGCCGATCGATTGAGTTGCGAAAGAGGGCTGGGTGCGGCGGGGGTATTGGCCGACGACTGGGTTTCCTGCTCCGGTGAGGTCACAGTTGCCTGGAGACCATTGGTAGTCGGGATAGAGGAAGTAGCAGTTGTATCCGCTAGGGTCGATGGGGATGCAGTAGATGGGACAGGATTGGGAGTAGGAACGGGAGTGGGAATGGGGGTAGAGCTACCCAGAGTTCTGCCAGCCGCAGGAGCGGCGCCACTGCCACCCAGACGGTTACCCAAAAGAACCTTAAGGCTCTTCAACTCGGTACCCAGTTCCTTCAATCGATTCTCGTTACCCTCCCGGGCACCTTCGAGAGCCTTGGGAATGGCATCCTTTAGCGACTTCACTTCATCACTGATCCGGCGAGTCTCATCATCCCTCCGCCGTGAAGATGTCTTCAAATCTGCAACAAGACTTTCTACATCCTTGAGAGCGGTATCCAGGCGCTCAGTACGAGCATCTTCGGCAGCCTTCAAGGCTGCAGTATCAGTCGAAAGCTGTTCAATCAGATCGAATGCCCGGGAGAATTGCTCGTCAATTTTCTCTTTATCTTGCTCCAGTTGAGGAGGAGTTGGCGGGGCAATCAATGGGGAGATATAGCGCTGGATTTGTTAGCATGGCTCACGATGCCCTACTGTCCATTCGGAATGAACATACCTTAGTTACAGAATATAGTCCATATCCTACGCCACCCACAACTGTCGCCATGATGAACCAGTCGCGCCAGTCACGCTTCGGCGGCCTGCTGAGCGGTTAGACCAAGGTATTGATAAGAATTTATGGTGGTGCATACTCTGGAGGGGGCTGCCATTGATTGTATGGAGGATAGCCATATCCTTGCGGCACTTGTGGTGGTGGCCGGTAGGCGAGCTGTTGTGAAGAGGGGGCTGGTGATGATGCTGCGCCTGCGGCGGCGGCTGCGGCGGCGGCTGGGTCCTCACCCACTCGTGATAAGGCGAGGTCGACTTCTTCTTGGGTGAGATTCTTCGATTGCAGGAATGCGACTCTCTTCTCAATGGGCGACGAAGCGACCGATGGATCCTGGAGAACTATTTCATCGTCAGCGACCAACTCTATCACGCGACGGTTGCGATATATTCATACAAGTCACCTAGAGGCATATGTTAGCATTAAATATCGAAAACAGGCAATTTCATCCTTACGGCAGACGTGATCAGCTCCTCACGAGGAGCCATTATGGATTAGAGTCAACTCGACCTAGGAGGATGGAGAAAGGAAAGACAGTATGGAGTAGGGGAAGGCGACCGTCATCGGTAAACGCCGTGGACCTCGGAAGTCAGGACCGCCAAGCTTCCCCACACCGAATCTGGGAAAGTCTCGTGATTGTGTCCCTTTTTGTCCTGTTTGCTTCAACCCGGTACCGCCTTCCTCATTTGGTCGCGACCCGCTTCTTGTTTACATCTTCTTGCCCAAGCCTGCACGATAACAATGCCCCCCCTCCACGAGCGAAATTGTGCATGCTGACTTGGACTTGACGAAATTGAGACTACTACATATTCTGCCTATTTACTGGAATCAGCGCGACACAACACGCCGCTTTTGCGGCTTTTGCAGTCACAATGTCGCAAGATACTCATCTTTTTAGCGTCAGGCGCCCGGGGCCCCGAGAGGTATGGATTTCTTCTGGTCGCAAAACAAAATCAAGCTGACGTATAGTCTCAAGACGCTTGGGAGTGTACAGAATTATTCCGCTATCCCACAGCCCGCTTCTGCTCTAAAACGTACAAGTTCTATTGGGTTTAACAACCCTCCATTCACGTCGCAAAATGCTCGCCGCACGTCGCTATTAAATTCGGCAAGCAGGCCTCAGCAGCCCAACTTCGCACGCGCTTCCACCGGAGGTCCATTCGCTGCTGAGGCTGGTCTCTCATCCGTTCGCCGATCCGTGTCAAGTAACATGTTTCATGGCGCCAGTGCGGGTCGTCAAAGTTTTGCGCCAGGCTCTCTTTCGTCGAATCCTGCCCCCCCAAACCTACAACGTCGGAGCAGTGTCTTTTCAAGACCATCAATGGGTGGACCGATGGGCCACCAGTCTTTTTTCAACCAAGTCCCCAGCGTCGCGGGTGTCCCCAGGGATCCGCGCCCACTTCGGGATCGATCCTTCCAGGCGCGCATCGGACAGGAGCTACTGGAATATCTGACTGCCAATCAATTCGAGTTGGAAATGAAGCATAGTTTGGGACAAAACACCCTCCGTTCACCGACCCAAAAGGACTTCAATTACATTTTCCAGTGGCTGTATCACCGTATTGATCCCGGATACAAGTTTCAGAAAGCTATGGATGCCGAAGTGCCTCCTATTCTCAAACAACTACGTTATCCGTACGAAAAGGGAATTACGAAGTCCCAGATTGCAGCTGTTGGTGGCCAGAACTGGTCAACGTTCCTTGGCATGCTACACTGGTTAATGCAATTGGCGCAGATGATGGAGGGCTATGTACATGGGCAGTATGATGAGGCTTGCGCAGAAGCTGGTATTGATCTGACTGGCGATCGCATCATCTTCCGCTTTCTTACTCAAGCCTACCATGACTGGCTTCAGGGTGGCGAAGATGAGGATGACGACATGGCTGAGCAGAGGTTAGTCCCGCACATTGAGAACATGTCCGCAGAATTTGCACGTGGCAATGAGCGGTATGTGCAAGAGTTGGAAGCTTTGGAAGCAGAGAATCAAGCTCTCCGTGCACAAATCGAGGAGATGGAACGGAATGCCCCCGACATGGCCAAATTGGACAAGCATTTCCGAATTCTAGAGGATGACAAGCGAAAGTTCGAAGACTATAACCAGAACGTCAAAGGAAAGATCGAGAAATACGAGACTCGAATCAAGTTTCTGGACGCTGAAATCCAAAAAACCGACGCTGAACTTCAGACGACTGAAACGGAGCGAGCTGATCTTCAAGCCAGCGTGGATCAACAGGGCATCACCATTCAGGATATTGATCGCATGAACACCGAAAGGGAACGTCTCCAAAAAAGCCTTGAAGATACAATGGCTCGTTTGGAAGAGACACACGCCCGCGTCATGGAGAAAGAGGCAGAGGCTAGCCAGAAGCTTGAGGACTTGGAGGAAATCGTCAAGACTTACAACACCCTGGGCTACCAAACTAGCTTGATTCCTTCCTCCGCGGAGAATGCCAAGGGTGAAGAATTTGAGCTCCAACTGAATGTTAACGAGAACAATTTCTCCGCCAGTCAGGTTGGAGGGCCACCCAATCGCATTTCATCCGAGGGTGATCGTCTCCTGGCCGAGCCCTTCACAGGTTATCACCCGGCGCACTTATTGAATCTTGATCTCCGGGGCTTTGTGCGTAATAGTCTACAGGCGCTGCGTAAAGAGATCAATGAACGGCGGAAAAAAGGGATCGACGATGACCTAGACCGTCGCAATCTACTTGACAATATTAAGGAGGCGATGGACGAGAAACGGAGCGAAGTCGAGGCTTTGGAGCACCGGCGCCGGGCGGCAGAAGAGGAGTTTGAACGCACAAAGGAAATCACCACCACTCAGAAGCTGGCGTCTGACGCCCAGATTGAGAAGATGGAGAAGGAGCTTGCCAAGATGCGCGCCACCCTCAGCGACAGTGTCCAACTAATGGAGCAGCGGGAGATGAACACCAACATTGAGTATGAGCAGCTGACTCTGCGGGCAAATGCACTCCGGGAAGAACTGCACACCAATGTGGAGACTATGCTCAACGATGTCATCCGGTTCAAGGTGCACGTCCAAAAGGGCCTGGAAGACTACGAGAGCTTTGTAGTAGATGAGGTGGAGCAGGAGTTAGGAGGTGACATGCCACTTGCTGAGGAGGAATTATGAAGAGGCACTATTGGCGCCTTCATGATGTGACGAGATTTCCGTGTGGAGTTCTTTGTTTGGTATCACGTTAATTGAGGTCTACGGAGTATTTCTTTCTGTACAATACCATTTCTTTTTGAATGATCTAACTGCCGAGTACAATGTTCCTATTTTGACGGGGGACGCGCAATGGGCGGGACGATTGTGCAGCAAACTTAGCGTGAGACCGCCGTGGCGTTGCGGTGTTTGACTATTAGAAAGCCTTTAAAGCCAAGGTTGGCGGAGTTGTCTGGATTTAGCTTGCCACGCCGGATCTTGAAATGGTCCAATGGCCATCCAGAATCAATCGCCCCGTTTCCTCAATTTGAAGCAGGCAGCGGATAGATCGACAAGAGGACGTAAGCCTTAGTGGAGCTCAGCTATGACTCGTCCGTTTCACATTTACACTTCACACCTCATAACCGGCCTCTGTCAAACATCAAACACCAGCTTGACATGTTCCTGCAGGAACGTTTCATATAAAAAAAAAGCAGCGTTAATATACAGTATTTTAGGCTTAGGGCTTCGGCAATTTTGAATCCCTGAATGGCGTGTCTTGGCCTTCCCCAGGTATCGGCTCCACATACAACGGACCAATATGCTCGGGGGCTCCTAGGGCTTCGTCTGACCACCTTCTGCCAGGATCACTGTTGATTCGACACATCTACCACGGATGAAAACGCTGAGCACCTTTGCTCGGCAGTCTCAGAATGCTGATCTCCACCGTTCCCAGAACTCAGGGCCAGGTCCAGATGTCTCAGCTAACCTTAGCGGCTGGAGATCCACTTTGACAGGACACCAGCCAAAAGGTCCCAGCTGGGGTATATAAAGCACTTCGAGCCCTCCAGAAACATTTTTTGAACCAGAGTGCTGCGCGCTTCCTTCTTTTCCAATAGCTTTTTCGGATCATCCAGAGTTTGATACTCGACCAATTCCATTCATTACACAATTTCTTGATTTCGACTATATCAACCACTTTCGTTGTTACTTCTTATCTCAACAACACTTTCACCATGAAATTCAACATTGTTTTCGGCCTTACTGCTGCCCTTTGCCTGGCTCCCAACACCGTCGCCTGGCACCTGCCCGGAGTATGTGCACCTTTTGTCCTTGTCTTGTTTTCTGATTAGATGCTGACATTCATTAGCTCGGCAAGCGCCAGGATGCCACCCCTACTTCTCAGATTGCCACTGGCTCTGAGCCCACCGGTACCTTCCCTTCCGGCAGTTTTGGCGGTGGTGAGGGTGGCTCTTTCCCCTCCGGCGGTGCTCAGCCCACTGGTAGCTTCGGCGGTGGTGAAGGTGGTGCATCCCCCTCTGGCGCTGCCCAGCCTTCTGGTACCTTTGGAGGATCTGGCGGTCACGGCTCTGGTGGCCACCAATCTGGCCGCCCTGGTCCTCGCCCCTCTGGTGGCCCCTCTGGTGCTGCCCCGTCTGGAAGCTTCGGCGGCGGTGAGTCTGGTGCCCAGCCCTCCGGCACTTTCGGTGGTGGTGAGGGCGGCTCTTTCCCCTCGAGCGCTGCCCAGCCCACTGGTGGATTTGGCGGTGAATCCGGTGCTTCCCCCTCTGGCGCTGCCCAGCCCAGTGGTAGCTTCGGTGGCTCTGCTGGCTCTGGCGGCTTCGGCGGCTTCGGCGGTGGTCAGGCCAGCTTTGTGACTGTCCCTGTCGGCCCTACCGCCACTCCCGAGGCCAGCTCCCAGGGCCAGAGCCAGGGTCAAAGCCAGGGCGAGTCCTCTGAGGGATCCCAGGGCGAGCAGGACCAGCGTGTTCACGCTCGCCACTTCCGTGGCATTCAGGTTTAAGTGTCTGCAGAATGTTGTGCTCATTTTCGGCATTTTCGCTGCCTTGTGTGATAGGGTAAAGGTTGTTCTGCTACTATGGCTGCTGTGCAGTTGTAGAAAAAAGTACATATGTATATAGACCTATACCGCATCCACGAATGAGACTCTGGCATGATCCTATATACTTTTCCTCTGCTTACTTGACGGGTAGACTAGTATTCATTCTTCCAGAATTGGTTTGCAGGAAACATCTTAATCAAACCAAAAGTGAGAAAGATCAAAATTAAAGTGAGAAGCCAGGTCATCCTCATTTTCCCACTGTAGTTCCCGATGTAGAACACATCGATAGTTCAACACTAGACATATCCACTGATATAATCCTCAACATCCTCCATGGTAGCTGATACTTCCCATTTCACCTACTCATACTCTCACCTCCGCTCCCGCCGACTCCGGAGGAACAGGATCTATTGTCTCAGGACGAGCTCATCAGCCGGGCTCCTTTAGCTTCCCAATGCTTTCGTGACTGTCCATCCACTGGTCTCGCTTTTTATGCTACCGGAACCCTCAGCTTCGTGAGCCTTGTTCCTGCCTAGACATGTTGGTAAAAGTTTGTCTCCGATGAGCTAAACCTTGAGTGAGCACGAGGAGGTGCATTGCTAGGCCTTTCCTAACACCCAATTTCTCTGGTATAAAGCAGGGGTGTGATTAATTAGGAATCTAGTTATTTCCTCGATCATATTACTGCTCTGGATTTCGAATACTGCGCCTTGCCTAAACTTTGGAAGTGCTCAATCATTTCAATTTCATTGATGCCGATAGAACGCGCACCAGGCAATTTTTTCGACTTAGAACTGAGGACTCGGAGCTATGTATCTACAGCCTGTAGAATTTCGAGTAATTTTAGTAATCCATACACTTGAGCAACTTGTTTGAAAGGAGCTTCTCAGTGGTCTAGTCTTCGAAGTAAATACGGTGGCTCCGATTGGCTGCAGCTTGTGTATGCTGACTCATCCCTCTAGCACCAAATTTCCAGCGACTCGTTTTCCTTCAAACATTTTCAACACTCCCGTGTTGACGGGCTCACAGCTATTACAATCGGCTTTAAACGGATCAAACGGATCGGAGAACCTCTGTGACCTACCTGAGTTTATGTACGACTCGAAATGTGCCACGCCGCACCGGAACCCATCGAGTCCGTGAATTATCCACAGGCGCCTTTCGCGAGGCTTCTCGCCGTGTCATGAGAAGGTGCCTGTGCCCCGGCGGCCTCTTGCGAACTGGTCGTGGGTCAATCCTCTCTCTTCGACGTGTCTCCCCTCCTTCCGCCCTCCAGACCCGACTTTCATCGGCGAAATGCAACATAAAGCCTAAAGAGTACGACTTTCTACTCACCTACAACTCCCTACCACCGTCCCCTCTCCCGTCATGGGAAAAGTACAATATCGAATCCTGGATACCACTTTTGGAGAAATGTGTCCCACCAGCGCAAAAGGGCGAGATCACCCCGGGCAAGCCCGAGGCTGGCGCTTCACTGCTAGATCATGCAGCCATTCTTGATCGCGGTCATGCTTTGAAGGCATTCCTGTACCATGCGAGAACTGAGGCAAGATTGAATCTGGTCAATCATCTGGGATTTGACTTGGGCCAATGGTCTTATGTATACCGCCTCCTAGGCACTTTCGTCGACACATACGAAGTGCTCATTCCTTACATGACTCCTCAGCGCCCAACATCATGCTTTGCCTGGAAAAACACAGGACTCTCTCTTGACCAGCTCTCAGAGGCTCCTCATGATGATCTTATAATTAAACGCGAATTAATACCGATATCTTCGCCTTCTGACAACATCCCTCTTGCAATGCTGTCAGGAGCACGACCAGCAGCAAGGGAATTCGCTCGCACGTTCTTGGGGGAAATATTAGTGAACCTTGGTTCATTGGTACTGGAAGCTGCAGATCGACCAGCAGCTGAGTCTGAGCTTGCAATGTCCTGTGTTTACCGTATCCTTGCTCGTTTGCACCACCTAGACTTGATTTCCGACAGAGTGTACCAATCGCCAGATGACAAAACCAATTTGTCATCACTCCGACCACCCGGATTACATCTGCTTACGGGCCACATTATGAGTGTTCTTTCTGACGCAGCATGGTTGGAACACGAGTCTGCCCTTGCATCCGCAGCCACCGAAGCAGGAGAAGAGCCCCCTTTTGTTCCTTTCAAAGTCGGAGTTCGAGAGTTAGGTCATGAGATTTGGTTAGAGCTGATTCTTTGGTGCTGCGTTGAACACGGGTTCAACAAACAGGGTGCTTGGTTGGTGGGTCAAATGTGCGGCCGCAGATCTCAGTCAACTTGGAAAATTGAGAGCTGGGTGCCTCTTATGGAAGCTCTTGACCTTGTGCAACAGACCAATATTAGCACTGAGCGAGTCTGGCGTCGTCCAGGTCAAGAAAATCCGGTTGTGACCCACAGGGGCTCCCAAAAGCTGCCGTTCAACGGACTTGGCCTAAAAACAATCAGCTCTGAAGTGGTTTCCAGTTTACGAAATGGGCTATCTAATATCGCTTACAACGGGGTTGGTTTCCGTGGCTCCGCCCCTTCTGAATTGCTCACTTTCGCAAAGCCTCTGACCGCCTTGCTTGATCCTCCTGGCGCTGCCGACGAACTTCGTCCTACAAGAAGGATTACGACTGAGAACATTGTTCGAATAATCGAGTCTGGCTGTTTAAAGCCAAATGAAGATCCAGTGGCGTTAGAAAGGGTGTTACGGTCTACCCAAAACCTTGTGCCCCCATGGGAAACGGAACCAGTTCCCTCAGCAGACGATCTGAATAACATGACGAGAGCACAGCTATATGACCAGACAGCCGCTCTAACTGGCCTAGTGCAATACAATATCAAAAGCTATAGCAACCAACGCCAAGCCACCCAGGCCTTTACTCAGTACGCGTGGCTTCAAAACATCGTTGATGCAAGCAAGGTCCATCATATTCAAGCGTTCTTTGAGCATCTCAATCGATCCCAATCTATGGATGTACCATTTTTCGACGCACAGCAACTCAACACTTCTCAACTAACGCAGTCGTCCCTCCCGGAGGTGTCACTCACAACATTAGCCGATCTACTTGATTTGGCCACTGCTGCCAGAGCCGATGATTTCGGAAACTGGTTGCTCTTCAGCGAAGATATTGATGGCCCCTCGATCCCACCTGCTGTTTACGGCACCCAAGTTCTAGCCCCATCGATCCTTCGCTTTGCGGCTGCTACCCGAAATCCCGACTTGAGCCACTCGGTGATTAAATCACTGGAATTACCACTTACGGTGAACACGCTCAGGTCAATGGCTAACCTTCACATTGAGTTTGGTGACTGGGACCGCGCCATTCTGGCCTTTGAGTACCTGCGTGACTATAGGCTGAAATCCTGGGGCTTCAGTAACATCTTAGCTCTAGGAGCGAAGATAGTCAGGCTTGACGGTGCCCTAAAGCTCCGACAGGCCAGTGGAGTCGAAGACACAGCACAAAAGTCCTTAAGGCAAAGCTTGGACCGCGCAAAACACCTTCTTTATCGATTTTTCTCCGGGGAATTCAACACGCCTAGAAGCAAGCTCCCGAGAACAAATACTTTCCAATGGAAAGCTCTTGAGCGCACACGGGCCATTTTTCGAAAAGTTCCTGGTGAACTGGGAGTTCTTGCAGGCCAAATCCAGCTCAACCGCACAATCTCCAGTCGCGAAAGACTCCCATATGTCCCCACAGTCTCTTTCCACGTTCTTCTCAGTGCAATCCTAGACGTGCACGGCTGCAAAGTCGGTCATGAATTCGCAGTTCGCTGGCTTCAGAAAACACCCAATCCACAGAAATGGCGTCAGCGAGAAGGCGGTGTTTCCCGATTCTATCTCCACGCCGAGCGTGACTGGCAATTGGGAAATCCTAGTTACAAACATGCTTGGCATAACCATTCCATGTCAAAGGCTGTTATTCCCGATCTGAACACCATCCGCATTCTCGTTCGAGCTGCTATGCGTGAGCTTGAGATAAACCCACATGAGAAGATTAAGGTCGAGCCATCCAGCGGTCAAGGCTACCAACTCGACGTCTCGAGGTCCATCTACAAGTATCTTACCTTGGAAGGTGGCAAACCGCCCGCTACGGAGGTCGAGGCTGTCCTGGATTGGTGCGCGGCTTTCCTTATGCGTGCCGGTATGCAAGATGCTATCGACATCGAGATTCCGGGCCATACGAGCCGTCTACGGGGCCGGGGCGTTCTTACTGCGCCACGAGATAAACGGCTCCGAACCCGCTTTAAAGAGATTCAAAATTCTCCTTGGATGGAAACTTTCGTTAAGGAAGTGGCTGAAGAGTACCCATTGTCTAGGATTAGCGAGTCCAAAACCTCGCTTGTATAATATTTATGTCCCTTGGACTTTGGACAAACAGTGTATATACCCTTTTTCTTTTCCCGTGTTCATACGATGTATTATCACTTGTTTTCCTTTCCTTCTCTTCGGGAGCATTACATAGCAATAGGCCTCACTCGATCTTAAGCGTAAAACATGTGAACAGTTGATACAATCTTGGAAAGCGTGTTTGATGCCATTATATTCATATCCAATCACATCACTCAAAACCAGGTCAAAGAAGTATTCGACAAGCAATGAGGCCAATCTTGAAATCCTAAACCCTTAGAAAAGACCACAACCAAACCAACGCATCCATCCATCCGTCCGTCCATCCCAAAAGAAAACAAAAAGTAAACGCCACCAGAAATAAATCATTTGGCAACCATGCCTACCTAGCCAGTAACCACATCCCACCCTTTCCCTCGTTAAGAGGTACTTCCGAATAAGATAACCTCCCATTCCATGTCGATTATGCAAAGCACGCCGTTGTTGGTATAAAGCTGGGGCGGCAAAAAAAAAATATCCAAGCCACCGAAAAGTGAAAAGAAATTGTAAGAAATTACAAATCATAACTCTAGGCCAAGCCTAGATACAGGGTCAAATCCAAAAGAGAGGAGGTTGAAGAAATGAAGAGAGAGCGAAAAAGAGCTTTCGGTACTTCATCAGTCATCGACATGAATCGCACAACTTTTCTCCGCAATAAGATCAAATCTGATCCCAATTAAGATCTTCATTCGAATATGGGAAGAAAGAGCGAATAAACTCGCCGCTGATGGGGTCGTACGGGAAGTATAAATCGTCCGTCATTTGAGCATCGCCTGTGAATGAGGACATGAGATCAGTCGATTGCATATCCGGATAACCGGAGTTGTTGTAATAATGATCAACACCATATTCGGAAGGTTCTTGATTGATCAAAGACAAATCTTCCAAGTGTGGGTTCCAGAGGCCTGAGGTGGAGGAGGGGATTTCCTGAGCAAAGTCGTGGGGATGTTCGAGGGAGACAGTGGAAGCAGGTGCGTTTTGGTAGGGATAGGAAGGCATGTCGCTGATGTCGAACTTCATGCCGATGGACAGACGGCGCAAAGAAATGTCACATAGCTGCCATGCGCGCCGCGAGGCGACGCTGTACTGGGACATGACGAAGAGCCACCGGATGGCTTTTTTGGCAAAGACGATGAAATTACTTTCTTCTTCTGGCATGTGAACACACCCAAAGGCGAGCTCGAGTAGGAGTACCGTTGCGGATTGCATGAGGTAGTGCAAGATGCACCACCATGGGGCAATTTCATAAAGTTGAATAGCATTGGGCTCCTCCGGGATGAGATCGAGCATGAGTCTGGCAGATTCCAGGGTCAGCTCTGCCATGTCATGGCTGAAAGCCGACCTTTCAGCCGGGCTTTTCTTTTGCGCGTCACGCCGGCAGAGGCATGGGCGTCCCAATGTGATTCGTGCACTGTAGTAGTGAAATGCCAGGGCCAATTTGTACCGGAGTCGCTCAGGGCCTTCATCCTCCTTGTTGGTAAAGTCAAGTGCGGTCGGAAGACTGTGGAACCAGAGGTCGATTCGGCACCTCAGCTCACCGATTCGATTCTCAATGTGAGACCAAGGTACCATCACACAATCCACCGAGTACACTTTGTTCACGATTTCCTGCACGACGACAGCCAAATCACAGTAGTAGAGGTGGCAGAGACCAGCGCTGACAGGCAGGTTCCTCACCCACGAGTTGTCGCGTGCACGGGTTTGATGCGAAGCTTCTTTGCCTCCAGTAGGGTTAAGAGGCATATGTCGCACCCAAGAACTGGCCATTACCTTGTTGATACGGTCATCTCGGATGGTCGAATCGTTTAACAATTCAGCTGCCGCTGGTTCTGTAAGCTTGTCCTCTGCCCATGGCAAGGGCAGGGGCGTGGTGCATATTCCATCCAGGATGCAGGAGGCGCGGCCAGTCATTATGCCCAGAAGATGCTCGAACGTGTACAGACACCACCAAACTCGATAGCGAGCCTCTTTGGAAATATTCGGTGTTGTAGGGCTGCTGTTCTTCATATTGATGCCCAGGGTGATTGCAGACCGAACTGCCAGCGCAGAGATTCTCCATGCGCGATTAATCTGGTCTGATGAAAGCAAGTAGAAGGCAATCAAGCCCTCTACTTGGACCTGCTGAAGATCAGGATGGCTGAATAAAACATCACCATTCATACTGAGAGTTCTGGCCCGATTCAGATACAATAAATGATCTTTTTCATCTCCCCGCCATGGTGCCTCAACCAGATGGGAATGTTTGGAGCTAATGGCAAAGATCATGTTCAAAATGGCAAGCCATTTATCACCTGGTTGCGCGTTGCTTTCATAAAACGTCTTATACTGCGCAGTGAAGAGAGGTCGATTGATGATAGGAAAAAAAGGGTTGACGGTTCGCAGGTAATCATCGAAAAGGTGATCTGCCTGCTCTCGTGGAGGAACAGCATACACGTCAATCGGTCCCGGGGCATTGATGTCCAAATCATCGAGATGGTAGTTGACGGCGTGAAGGGCGAGATCATCATCTTGTCGCTTGCTCTGTCCGGGTTCTAAAGATCCTGGCAGCCCTTGCGATCGGTGTTCTGCTTCTCTTTGAAGTCGTTGCATCCAAGTCACCTCGGAATTCTTTCCCATATATCCAGTCGCCCGTGAGTTTTCATTTCGGTTCAAGTCCTCTTCCACTCGATCGATTGCCTCCAACGAACCAATCGATGAAGGCGAGCTCAGCTCATCTGCTTCTACAACCTCGTCCTGAGGGGTAACAGAGTGAGATTGAGCACTGCTGGGTGAATAGTCTACATCCAAACCATGCTGCAATAAATCAGCGACTGTTATGAATTTCGACAGCGCATGAGCATACCTTGTCCAGCAAGCTTTTGATCCGGTCCGCCACACGAGCCTCCACAAGATTGCCCAAATCCTTCAACAAATTTTCATAGTCGTAGGCTTTTTCAGTAAGTTTTTCGACTTGTCTGGAATGCAGTGGTTAGCACAGTTAAAGATTTATCGATAATCAGCAGCCTACTTTTTCGTTTTTTCTTTCCATCCAACAGGGTAACTACAAGTCGCCCTGAGTTCACGGCACTGTCGACAAACGGGAGTATCGCCACTGCATTTTGTCTTGCGCTGGCGGCAAGATTCACAAGCCCGAGGCACTCGGCGATTGTACCGCGGGGCAATACCCCCTCTGTGGCGCGGAATGGCAACTTTAGCGTGCGGTCCTCCATTTCCAACAGTGGAAGCTGTATCGGCGACGGAGGCGGGTTGAGAGGAGAGGGCGGGGGAAGCTCATATTGTTGCTTTGGGGCGCCATCTTGTTTTAAGCAACCCTCCCCCGGCGGGTGTTGGGGCGGCTCCTCCATTGTCATGATAGCGGGTGGTTTAGGCAGTCAGGATTCGCAATAAAGTGAGGGCGCAGGTTCTTGGCGATGGAGGGTTCTGATAACGGCACGATGCGATTCGCCGGCTCGGGTTGCCGAAATTGGATCGCGCGGCCTCGGAGTTGGCCTACAGAATATTGAAACACATTTGGATGGGATCCAAAAGATAGCAGAGATGTAATGGAATGTAGAATAGCGACCGTTGAGATGAAACAAGTTGGAGTGGCGGGGAAATGGGAAGTGCCGCTTTGATTGGAAGTTGGCAGGAGGCTTAGGTAAGGATATGAATTCATTGTCGAAATTGTTCCATGGATTTGCGTGACGCCTTTAGCATACAAGAAAAATAGGTCGCTTTTTGCCCTTTCGTCGATAGAATAAAAATAATAATCCGATAAACCCAGATCTCCCATCTCATCTACCCATCCAGGGCGATTAATAGAAATAAAAATCAGAAAACAGTAGTATATGTACAAGAATAGGAATGAGAGGGGAAAAGGTCAAAAGCACGGCGGGGAGATGGGAGCCGAATATGCGAAGGTTTAAAGGCGATAATAGGGTATAACGACAAGAGTGGCTCTCAAGAGAGGCGAGAGGAGAGGAGAAAATGAAGAAAAGAGATGAAGCAGTCCGGATATCACAAGCAAGATTGTTTAGATTTCGCCAAACATTTCATCAAGCTCGTCAACCTCGACGGTCTCCGGGTTCTGCAACTCTCTCCAAGAATCGGAAGCGAACACAGTCTCGGTCTCCATTTTGGAAAAGGCGCGGGGACCAAGGCTGAGCTTCTCGTGCGATTCAGTCAGATCAGACATCTTCAAATCCACATCGGGGAAACCGCTGTTCAACATGTCAAGCGATCGCTTGAGAGTTGAGACGGGCGCGGCATCCGGATCGGTGGGAAGGCTGATCTGAGGAGCAGCTGGAAGAGGGCCAGCCCTTTCCTCGCAGTCATCAACGATACTCGTTCCAGACGAGACGGACGATGCGATCGAGGTAAGAGAAGGCGAAGGCGAGGTGCCGAAAAGAGTGGCGGCAGCGGCCTCATCCAGATCTTGAGCCCCGTTATCGGCAGCGTTCATGTGTGAGAAATAATCATTAAACTCCTCTTCACCGTGGATGGAGGGAGACATCGAGCCTCCATTTATAGGAGAATCGATGCTCATATCTTCATCCATGGAACTGAGACCTTCGGAAAGAACGGAGAGACCCCGTTCCGACTGATCCCGGCTGGCCTTTTCCTCCGATGCACGCTCACGCACAGCACTGGCGGTCTGAGTGAATTCCTTCTCGTCGCCCTCCAGGGGCGGGGAGGCCGCACGGTTCGAGTGCATCAGGCGTGTGTGACTAGAGGGGTCGGGGAATTGGTCTGAAGCAGAACCCCGGTTGGCGGAATTGTGCAAGTCGACATCCTCCTCCTCTTCAAAGTCGGGGGATGACAGATCCACCTCAGGGCTGGGGCTGCGCTGCCGCGAAATTAAATCTTCGTCGTCTTGATCCAGACTTGAGACGCTAGGAGTAATGTGCTTGCCGTCAATGCCGACTGTCAAGTCGTCATTTTCCGGGATAGGTTGACGAGGGAAGGTCGTCAAATAGTAATACACTTTGCGTGGGTGGATTAAAATAAGTTCTTTGGCCATAGGACACGGCGCGAGGGCGGTCCAAGGACGCTTCATGTACGCTGCTAGTCGGGAAGACAGAAGCGCAGCGGGATTCGCGGAACTTTCAGACCCCACCTGTTAGCGATGAAGTGATATCAATTTGGGGGTTAGGGGACTTACTTGGCGACAGTCGCATTCAGCGACACTAGAACGGCAGCCAGCTCCTTAACAAGATGGGGGCGATTCCCAGTCTTCTCCAGCTGATCGATCACGGCGACCACAATATCATCGTTGATGCCTTCCGTGTCAATCTTTGGCGCAATATCACCATTTAACGGCGAGGGGGGTGGTGTATGTTCGAAGGCTCCGTGCCGACCCGCGCGCACAATAGATCCCTTTTCCGTAGATGGCTCGGGCGATAATGAAGTATGCGACCGCTTGACTTTCTTGGCCGGGTGGTCTTCAGAAGCGCCTTTTGAAACGGAGGAAGCACGACGTGACGAGTTGGGGAGGTGGATGCCTAGCGATGGGAGGGAGAGCGACTTGCGACGGGTATTGTACGGCATAGTGATGTGAAGGAGATTTAGAACAAAGGAGGGAAAGAAGATTCAAAGTAATAACAAAGGAATCAACAATAATAAAATAATAACACAGGTTCACTCGGAGAGGTCTCGCGAGGATGTAGGTAAAGGGGGGAAGTAAAAGGGAAGATGCGAGCTACTGAAGGCGAAATACACCTGAGGAATCTCAAGCAGAGAGTGGAAACAGTGGATTCTTAGTTTTTTTTTTTTTTTTTTTTTTTTTTTAGGTAATTTATCGAGAGGATGGTAATTACCAAAACATGCGATTTAGAATTGCTGTGGCGCTGATTGGCCTGGAAACTCATTTCTGGATTTTTCTTACGGCATGCGCTTGCTTAACCACGGATGTCGATCGAGATTTTCCGGTTACTCGGAGCTACGGTCCCTCAACTCATCCTTATGCTAAACATTCGATATGCCGACTCGCATGAAAGATCACTCTGCGTACACCACTATAGATCCGGGAAATGAACCTCATGCAGGGATGCAACATGTTAAAAAATTTTCGAGTCGGAATTCCAGGCGGTGAGTGGATCATCATGTATTTTCCTTTCATGCCGTTAGTCCACCATCCATTCCCTCTTGGGCCTTAGTGCATGCCGATGAGCCAAGAGGCAAAAAAATAAACCGAATAGTGGGGGGAGCCATGTGTCCCATCACCCAAAGTGGTTTCCATGGTCCATAGTGCTCCAGCTTGAACTCCATCAGCTCCATACATCACACTTCACCACTCAGAATCCGTTGGCAGAGATGATTATATGGGTCTCCCAGTGATCTCATTGGCTCTCTAGATTGAGAGACAGCGCTGGGCGAACGGCGCATCCCAGCTCTGGTCTCTATGCCGATTATGCATCAGATCTGTCAATGGTTGCTAGGTGACCAGTCGTCTCGTAGTATCTTGACCGCTGCTCCTTCGATACGGATGCCCTATCAACATATCGTATCCGACACCGACTCAACTGAAGACACCACACCAGGTTTTGCTTTTTTTTATTGTTTCTATTACTCTTCGTTTTGCGTGCCGTGCGAGCCCGAGACCTCCGGGCAAAAACACCGGTTCCCAAAAAGATCCCTAGCGTCGCCGTTTGGGGCAGCCTCCACTTGGTGGATCCCCGGCCGAATCTGCGTACTGTATTGTATTGAGTAAAGGGATGCGTGCAGCCGGGGGGAACAGGGAGAGCCTCGCCACCCTGCACCTGGAAGTGATACCCCGTACGCCTCGTCCTGCCAAACCAACACTTGACTTTCTTTGTCTTTGACTTTCTGAGTCCTTTGAACTAAAATACTAAATACTCGAATAATATTCACACATCACATCACATCCTGTTGGTACCCGCGAACAGGAAGTAATGATGTCCTGAGGGGGAAATGTTTTCCCTTTCCTTCCCCCCTTGGCTCCATCCGTCGACGTAGATATGATGCCAACTTCATTTTAGTGCACCTAGCGCCCCTCTTGGGATACATCGTCCCCCCTATAGCTGCGATGGAGCAGTCCCAGTTGCCCCATTATTATTGTTATTACGATAGCCCCGTCGCCATCATCAATTCCTCAAAGATCGGCTCCTGTACGTCGCTCTGATTTCATCTTGGCGTCCAGCAAGGGCGGGTAGAAGCATTGCAGCACCTGCAGGTGTGGGATAACCATTCCAGAGATCTTTTCCCTTTGCAGATTACTGATATGTAGAACGGTCCAATCTCAGCGCGCTGTTTGTATCCTCCCGGTGATGACATCGTTCACTTTCGGGGAGGGGAAAGTTACATGCTCAACCTCAACCATGGATTCCACCTTCGTCGCATCAGCCCATTGTCGGCCGAAGGGGCGATCGGTTTATCTGATGCATTCTGCACTTGCCCGCTCGAGGCCTGCAGGTAATTCTCCGCATCTCCACGTAGGTGGCCCCCAGCTTGCATGCGATGCAATTAGGTTTTGCAATCTGGCTGGGTCTTTGCGCCATGCAATGGTTTGACTCTTGGTCCATTCCCCCGGGGCAGACTAAACTTAAAGATCTACATATGTCTACATCATCGTTCAGGGCTGTCCGATTCGTGTCTCGATATGGTAACACACCCTGGATCTAGACTTTTTGATAATTGTCTTACCAAGGCTCACACCATTATGGATCCTTCTTACATGCATCAATCTATATCCTGACTCCCCCATGTGGCAACCTTTATATCAAGTGGAGACCTGGGAACCTCGAATACATGTCAGATGCACGCATTGGAAATCACACCAGTGGTAAACAAATAGAATCCTTGCTTCATGTCATGTCTCAACACGCACTTCAGTGCATTGCTGCGGCAAATTTAAGACATATAGATACACCCCTGCAGGTGATCTGCGACCTGCATTTCACAAGTGATCCAGATTGGAAGGCTATTTGCTCCGTGAGGCCGTCATTTGTATGTCGGGTCGCCTAGATGCAGTGTCCAGTCAGATCGCATTGCAACCCCTCTTCATCGGTTTCCCGCCTTCAAAGAGAAACAACTGTGAGTAGCCGATCTTATCTACATATCCTGTTTGGTTTCCTTTTTCCTTTCTTAGTGTTTCTCTCTCCTCGGCTGATTGGTGGATTCTACAGTAGTTGCTACGCTAGTTGTTAGTGTTTTCGGATAGATCAGTCGCGAAATTCAAGGTTTCCAACGTCCTCAGTGCGGGGATATTACGTTGACTTCAACTCTCCGTTTGGATTCGCTTGCCAAGGTCATAGTAGTAAGGTAATGGTGGTGTCTTGACTAGTGCATACGTGTTATATGAGATCTGGTTTCATAGTAGCCCCGCATTCATTATTCTGCGACAAGTCGGCCAGAACGGTGGGGTTGTGCAATATGACAGGTCCAAACGCTGGAAGATTTATCCACCTCCAATGCAGGAGATATCAGCTATCATTACTTGCAATCTTGAAAGACGGCCTACTGCCTACTGCCCAATGCCAGGAGGTAATCTGAACTACGGGTACTCCGTACATGTACCACATGCATGCATCATGATGCATGTGCCGTCCTAGGTCTAATATTGTACATTGCTTCTAGATATTTACATGTCGATAGATGGGAACCCATGAACAAGAGGCCAAGGCCACTCATACACACGGACAAACCCTCTACTCAGAACTGCCTCTCGGGCGCAACACATACCGCCACGTCGTTCCAAAGTGCCACCGCTTCTCCTCTACAATCTCCAATCCACTCTCCTTCACAATAGCCCCAATATCACGATTCCACCAACAACCATGTCTATCCGCATGTGCAGGAGCAAGATTATCCAGAATCCGATTCAGCCAATCATAGTGCGACCGCCCATGCTCCAGCAACAAAATGCGACCATTCTTCGGCTCCGTAATCTCCCCCAAATGCCTGAGCGTACGCACAGGGTCAGGCATCGAGCACAACCCCATAGTCTGCACAATAGAATCATAATAGGCCTTCTTATTCTCTCCCCTCGAGGCCCCACTAGTAACAGTAACCGACGCAGCATCCTGCGCCCGAAACGTAACAGGCGGGCTCTTGGATTTATATCCAGGATGTAACGCCTCGAACTTCTCTTCCGCAATAGCAACCATCTGCGGACTCAGGTCCACGAATGTAAGTGTGCGACAGCCCCGGATCGCGGCTCGGCCATCCTCGTCTACGCCTCGACGCTCTCCGAGTTCGTAGTATTCGATGTTACGTCCTGTGCCGCAGCTTACCTCGAGGACGTCGCCGCGTGCGAGACGGATCAGATCTGCGCGCTTGGAGCCCATGCGCATGGCTTTCTCTGAGAGTTCGACTTCTGCATCGAAGGTTGGGGCTGTGGTGTTGTACCGGTCTGAGACATCGGTGGGGATATCCAGGGCTTGCGATTTGGAGACTTCGCGACTGTAGGACGCGTAGAGGAAGCCGCAGTAGCTACTTATTCCTAGGATTGAGATGCCCAGAAAGGTCATTAGGCGTGGTGACATTGTTGGGCCTTTGTAGTTTGGATTTGGGTGGCCTTGTGTTGCTTTAGAGGGCCTCTGTGAGATTGGAGGTCTTTTGCTAGATAGAATGTTACAACTTTGACGCGTGGTGATATATCAAGACTAGGACTTACCTAGGTCTTCGGGGTCGGGGTGTTTGTGCTTGGGTTTGTACGCCTCTGCGGGCTATAGTGGAAGGCCATTTGGGCTTGAAGACAACCCTTCCTATTTGGGTTGCGTTCATCGCGGTGTTCGGACCACTTTGTGCTTCAGTTGACAGCCAAATGCCCAGCTGGATGTTCCAATTCGTGACCAATTGTTGCTATATTGTCAAAGATCGGGGTAATACTGCGGGTGCAGTGTCCAATGGCCAGGAAGAAAAATCAGGTGCGCGTAGGGTGCAGTCAGACCAGGTGTTCCAAGGTCGGCGTCATCAATCGCAGTTTTTTACCACGCGCCTCAGTACCCAGAGTCGAGTCTGATCTCTCCACTATGATCTGGGAAAGCGAGATAGTGAGGCTCCGCGGTCTGTAGATTTTCGGGCAAGTTGGAGAAATGTCGGGAGCCGGCTGATAAGTGATTCCGTTATCGGGTACCGATAAGACATGACAAAGTTCCACTAACTACGCGTTTTGGTTCCTGGCCAAACAATAATCATGATCCAGCGAATCTGTTGCCCTTGAAAATGGCACTCAAATAGACTTGTTCAATTGGAGATCGCACCAAGCTTTAAGTCAGTTCTGAGGAGTGCAAATTCTCTAATGCCTCTGGGTTGATATATATATCTATGAGACCAACAAATGATCAAACCCTGCAAGCAAAGCCCCAAATATAAACCTCAAAATTGCTTCCAAGGTTCCGAAATCTTATGAATTCGATTAGCTATCTAGGTACCTACCTATATTATACCGTGACTCGATTTCAGTGCAAAAACCACGAAGATGGATCACGACAGACTCCCGAAAACGAGCAGCAGCTCCGTGAGCTGCCAAAGACACTTTCAGCAAGCGCAAGGCTGAGGGTGATCCCCCTATACTCACAGAAATCACATAAAGATATGATTTGAGGAGATGAAGGTGATTGATGGGTTGTGGATTATGATCTTGAGAATTGCTCTTCGTACCCCGATTTTGCTAATTGCACCCTCCCAGAAAAACGCCTTTCAATTTTAATCATGTCCTCTACTGACATTTATATGAAAAGAAACGAAACAACAATGTAAAATGGCGGAGCTGGCGCAGTTATATTTCATTTGCAAAGCGTATCTGCGGCGTGGTGCAATCGCCGTTGCCATGCTCACTGACAGGATGATCTTGGTGAGTGTCCAACTGCAGCACATTTTACTAACAACATTTGACTTGATTCAAACTTGACCCACATATGATCAGCCACAAAATTGAAGTGCAAGAGCAGGTAGCTGAACCAGGGGGAACGTGGGTAATTGATGTAGAAATTAACGTGAGTTTAAGCGATGAAAAATATGGGGAGATATAGGAAAGACATGTACATTGTAGTTTGAAGTAGCTAAAAGTACCAGAGACCAGGCTTGAGTCATGATATTGCCATGTCAAGCGAGGCTATTGTACGAAGGTCGGGAAAGGTTATATCTAGATGCATAGGGCAATTTTTCCGAGATTATCGGCAGACTGGTCTCCACTTTACTCCACAAAACCACGCCGAGGCCGATAAGTAGTCCGTTATCGGGACAGTCGCTTGACACGATCTCCAATCTCCAACTCGTACTCCACCTTCTTGCTGACCACAAACCTCTCAATCCTCCCAGAAAACCCCTCCATTGACCACTACAATGGCGCTGCCACCAAAGATTCTGATCGTGGGAGGTGGTGTCTTTGGCCGTAAGTCCCAACTCCGCATCAACATTACCCCAATGTCCACCCAGAATCCACAACCCACACAAATCCCCATATCTGCCCCCCTCCGCGGGCCCCTCTCAATGGCATATACTACAAGGCAATAGAATCAAACTAACCCCTGACCTCAGTGTCCACGGCCTTGTCTCTCAGCAAGCGCCACCCAAACTCTCAGATAACCCTAATTGAAAGCGCACCTACAATTCCTAACCCGCATGGCTCTTCTGTCGATACCAGCCGGATCGTGCGCGCAGACTACGCGAACAGCGCTTACTCCAAGCTCGCTGCATCCGCTATCCAGAAATGGCGCAGTACCTCCTGGGGTGCGGAGGGTCGGTACACGCAGACTGGTCTGCTATTGGTGTACCCAGCCAACAGCGCCAGCGCTAAGAAGTACGCCGAGAAGAGCTATGCAAACGTGCGAGCGATCGAGGGCGACAACGTCGTTTACCTACCAACCAAGAAAGATGTCTTGGGTGTCGTACCGCCATATGGAGAGACATTGGATGTTGCAGGGGGGTATGTGAATTGGGGATCTGGGTGGAGCGATGCAGGTGCGAGTGTGAAGTTCATCAAGGAATTACTCGACAAAGAACAAAAGGTGGTGTTCAAGCATGGAGAGGTGAAGCGTGTGCTTTTTGCTTCCTCTAAAAAACGTGCGACTGGTGTAGAGATGGTTGATGGGGAGACTATCAATGCTGACCTGGTTATTCTTGCGACGGGGGCTTGGACTCCTAGACTGGTTGATTTGCGTGGTAAGGCTGTTGCCACGGGTCAGGCGATTGCGTATATCAAGATCAGTGATGCTGAGCAGCGTGAGCTCGAGAATTTGCCTACGATTCTAAACTTCGCTACTGGGATTTTCATTATCCCGCCAAGGGATAACCTGCTTAAAATTGCGCGGCATGCGTATGGGTATCGGAATCCGACGACTGTGCCGGTGCCTGGGTCATCTGGAGAGACGATGCAGGTTAGTCTGCCTGAGACGGGAGTGCCGGTGCCATTGGAAGGGGAGGAAGCGTTCCGCGTTGCGCTGAAACAGCTTCTGCCACGATTTGTGGATCGGCCGTTTGCTGATACGAGGATTTGTTGGTATACTGATACGTGAGTTTCCATTCTGATGTTGGCGGTGGGTGCCGAACTGATTGCTAATGGCGTTGTGCAGTCCGGATGGCGATTTTATTGTTTCATACCATCCCGAGTACGAGGGTCTCTTCCTGGCTACAGGTGGTAGTGGACATGCTTATAAATTCTTCCCTGTTCTTGGAGACAAGGTTGTTGATGCATTGGAGGGTACACTGGAGTCAGAGTTGCGAGCGCTATGGGAATGGACCGGGACGACGCCGACGTCTGCCTCTGAAGATCTGTTTGACGGTGACGGCAGTCGATCTGGTGAACGAAAATCGATTTTGAAGGATGAGTTGGCGAAGACCAAGAAAGCTCGCAGGGACAGCGTCCTGTAACGTCCACGGGTGCCAATTGCATATATACTTTCGGCGTCCAATTGTGAATAGAACAGATCCGAGTGAATAGAGACATTGAAGATACTCATACAAGTTCTAAAGTCAAAAAGACTAAGCCTACGCAAACTTTCCTTACAAATACTTTTACTAGGAGAGAAGGTTTTTTTTTTTTTTTTTTTTTTTTTTTTCATTTTGGATATCAGAAACGGCAAAGGCCGATCCAGTCTCGCTGCTGGCAGACTCGCGACGGAATCTAAGCTCACCATAAAATTTTTTTGGGCCCGGGACAAGTTGCCTCGCCAACGGGGATGACCAGGTGACGTAACATGATTAAGAGGCAGCCATTCGACCAGCGCACAGAACCGCCTCACTGCGGTGTGCAGCAATCTCTAAGTGTAAACGGTCGAAGAGATGAAAATAAGCAAAAACAAGGACTGGGGAACAATCCGCACCGCTAAAACGCCCAACAATGCTTGCGTAAAGAATCGTGAAAGGAGGAGGGATAGAAAAGATAAGACGGGCTTGAAGGCCACGGCCGATCAATCACCCACAAGCGACGAAAAAAAGATAAGAGAAGATGTTAATACAGCGTCGAAAACAAATAGGGGTTTGATCTTCCTGGTGGAGACCGTGCTTAAACCTTGCGGAAGTCTATACGAATGTTAGTGGTTGTCGCACGCGACAAATCAAATCAAAAGGGTGAACATACCAGATAGCACAGGATAGATCATCTCGAAAGCCTGATAAATTTCCTCACGCACTTTGGCACCAGTCAAGACGATCTTGCCACTGACGAAAATCAAGAGCACGATCTTGGGCTTCATCATACGGTAAATCAGACCGGGGAAAAGTTCAGGTTCATAGGACGAGAAGTTGTGGTGACGAGAGGCCAGACCCTCCAGACGGATAGGGAACTTGATGTCGCAGGAGCCGACGATGTTTTGGATCTTGAAGTCGGTGAACTTTGCGTTGAAACCGAGCTTCTGAATGATACGCGCATACTTGCGCGACGCCAGCTTGGAGTCATCTTCAGACTTGGCACCAGTCACGACCATCTTGCCGGAAGCGAAGATCAACGCAGTGGTCTTGGGCTCACGAATACGCATGATGACGGCGGCGAAACGCTATGTGATGACGAAGTTCAAAGTTCAGCCACACTGTACCCGGATGAAGAAATCTCAGGGTGTGGAATATACCTTAGGATTGTACTCGGCGTTGCGAGCGTGCAACGCGATGGTCTTGAGATCCAGACGGCAGTCAAGATTGACGGTAGCCACGATGTTTCTTTTAAGACAGTTGGTTCAGCCATTCTGACTCTGGGTATGTGGTTTTAAGACAAGCCAGAATAGTCAATACTCACTGCAAAGTAGGCACAATGCCACTGCTTCCGGTCGTAGCCCCCGGGGTGGTGACCGGAGTGGCTGGAGTAGCGGGCATCACCCCGTTGCCGTTGTTGGCAATTCCTCCAGCTTGGCCGTTCATCATGCCGTTGACACCTTGGATCTCTTTCTCAGAAGAGGGAGGGGTCAAATCAGCAGCGCCACCGGGAAAGGACAGCGAGGAAGGCGAAGTGAAGGCACGAGCCTGCTGCGCGTTCGACGGGTGAGTCGTAAGCGAGTCCATGATAGGCAAATGTGATCGACGATCAAGGATCAAAGATCAGAGATAGATGTCAAAGAGAAGTGGAGCACTGCAGAGACAGGGGACAAGTCAGGTCAGTGAACCGTACAAACAAAGACAAGGTGAAAAGCCAAGACCAAAACAGTCGGCGGTGTGAGATGGCAGAATAGCAAGATGTACTCACCAGCAAAGTTGGGAGATGGACAAGTCAATGTATCCCCCTGAGATGCAGGACGTGGTGACACGAATGCGAATTTCAAATATCCCGGGAAGATATCAGAAAATAAATCCAGAAAAGCACACTGAAGTGTTTTCAAGAAGGGATCGCCACGGGTAGGGAAAAAATTATGATCAAGGAGGTCAGACAGCAACAACTTTTCTTTTTTTTGCAGTTGGGCGATAAAGGGGCACTTTTGTTGTCTCCTGCTTTTTTTTTTTTTTTCAATTGGGATTTTCTTTTTGGGTTTCTATCTGCGAACGCGACCTGAATGAGAGTGGCAGAAGCGAGTAACTGGGACAGGCTTCAAATGGAGCACCGGACGATTAGTGATTTATCCTCGGGCAAAAGGATAAAAATAATCACAAAGCCTTCTTTCCCACAAATCGGTGATATCTTTAGATTCTATCTTTTTCAAGATTAGAAAAGAAAGAAAAACCGATCGAATTAGTATAGATTGCAGCAGGATGCCACAAAAGGAAAGAGGTGGGGAGGGGAGGGAGTAAGAAGCAGTGCCAAGACCAGGACAGGAATCTCAGAGCGACATGAAAAGTGGGAGGATGGCCCTTTATATAGTGCTGACTCACTGCCCGCGTCAGGGGAGGCTGGGCCCGCTGGTGGCGCTTAAAGCAGCACTGCGCTCTCTCCCTTCACCCATGGCTAGGACCCTCACTAGCGGCTCTGGGACGGAGGCGGCGGGCCAATCATAGTCTCTATCATCGGTGATTGGCCAAAGTCTTATCCGCCCCACTATAATTCCTCTTCTGACTGGCTTATTCACCCTTGCTTTTATCCTTTCCAGCGCCATGGTTACAACCAGTAGTTGCCCAGTCCGTCGCGCTCCTGCAGCTGATAGTTGGGTCAATCACCCCCGTCCTGCCATTTGCCCCAATCATCATCCTCCATCCTTCACAGTCGCTCCCTGTACGACGCGCTATCCTCTCGCCGCTTTAGTGGATGGCAACTGAACAAAAATTGTTGCCCGCCAACTTGTTCTTTCCCCTTTTTCTCCCCACAAACAGGCTGTTGGTGCTTTTTGAAGCGCCCGCCCCAAATGTCATGATTTTCTCATGCCTACGTTCGCTGACCAAAACCTGCAGCCTAAATGAATAAGAACTAATCCTTCACAGTTTCGTGTGGCATTTTGGGGGGGGGGGGGGGAAGAAAAAATTCAAAAAGGCCAGGGTGGCCATTTGGGACGGGATTGCGCGCTGGACTGGTCGCGTCACGGATCTGATCCACCGCTTTCGCCAAGCCTTGGATCAATCTCATGGCATGCGATCATCACTGACCTCGGGATGTGTATGGTTTCGGTATGCTGAATACCATCGGCGGTGCCATCGTCACATTCCACCTTTTTCTATGAATTCCAGGGTATTTATCATCGAATACCATGGGAAACATTCAAACAAAAAAAAATCAAATCGAATTCTCATAGCATGCCGTGTGATTCGGATAGCTTGGGAAGCTTAATGCTTGCCGCCAACCCAATCGTATGTCGCGTCTTTAATTTGAGTCGATGATTAGCTTATTTCGAATGCCGTGTTTGCGCTTTGGAATTACTGATTTTTACTTTTGATACTCCCAACGTTGATGATGTCAAGATGGACTCAATGTGACCCATAGCATTTTTCAACGGTCGGATCCTGGCGCAAACACAACCTTGCTCGAAAGACTACATTCTATATGGAGTATATCTTTGCATAAACTCCATGCTCTCTATCCGAGAGACAGACTAGATCCTGGATAGATCGCAGCGCCCTGTTGTGACGGGTCGGTGAAGCCGGGTGGCAACTCCGAATCATACCGCCCCTGATTGGCTACCCGCTTCTAAGTAATCTCGGCTTCTGCTACTTTAGGTACTTTGGTTACCTTGAGCACGAAACAACAAGAACTATGGAGTACCTACGGAGTACATACAGGGTTCAGGCAATATTATCGCCGATCTAACGTGGTAGCCAAGCGTTGCCTTTTCTGGTAATCTTCAACATGAGGATTCCATCAGGGCCGTCAGTTATCTCCAGGATTCACTCCTGTTTTTGCCACTGCTTCGCCGTAATCTACTACCTGGGATGGGGATGAAGCCTCCGCCCACGCCTCCATATACACGTGCATACACGACTTTCCACTTGCTTTGCATGAACTTACCCCTATTCCTGTCTTGATCTCTTTAGCTCCTCCCGCTTCTTTCAAGCCGCTGACCGCCTCTCCTAACCACTTTAGTTCCACTCTTAGTGGGACAGTGGTTCACCGCTGAGAATATTTGAGATTTCTAAAGATTTGATCGTGTGCTATCTAGGTATGAGACTGTACTCGAGAGCCCCGACCTGGACTTGTCTGTCGACCGGTCCTATTACATTCAAGAACTAAAACTAAAAGTGCTATTTGCGTATTCATAGACCTCTGGTATGCAATCAGCATAGAAATTTTTATTTAGCAGATAAAAGGCTGTCAAGAGAAGTATCCATGAATAGTGTATACAAGACCCGCCCCATGGCGGAGGGCGGGCAGAACCGTGGAATGCAAGGTGGAGGTCCACGAGTCGGATCGACCATACAATCCTATAGTTGCAATATTATATGTCCTATTGAAAGAATGTATACATAGTCCACCTAAAAGTTGATCCTTAATTTAAGCGCCAAACTCTGAAACTCTGTCAGTGGGGGACCACGTGGATACAGTTCACCACCAAAAAAAAACCAAACAAAAGTGAGGCGGCCAGAGTTGCCAATCACTCCCACCGCCAGATCTGTGCTTTCTTTTTCCCTTTCTCCTCCCCCTCTTTTCTCTTGTCATCTGCACCGTTCCCTTTTCTTCCTCCTGCTTGAAACTTGCAGAAAGCGTTTACCTGTGGATCCCGTCCAGCCCACTCGCCGGGGAAGAAAAGAGCTTTAAGCGCCCTGCCGCCCATCACCGCCATCTTCCTGATTTGGCCGTATCCCACGGTCCTCCCGTTGCGCTGGGACTCCTCGGTCTACTAATCTTCTTTTACCTCTCTCCTTCAGGATTGAACCAGATAAACCTTCCCTGAGCCATGACGGAGGTTTCGTCGACCCGACTTTATCTCGGGAACCTTCCCCGCAATGGTACGCTGCCCAGCACCCACACCCTTTTCTCTCGACTTCATTCGACGACCAACCCTATTGGGATCTCAGTCTTGCCCATGGATGGAGCTCGCTTTTTCCGCTGGGAGAGCTACACCCCGTGGTCAACTCTTTCCCAAAAGCTCAGGCACCGGGAAACAGCCTGGGAATCCGACATTTGATTTTGCTTTCTGAGCGTTGCTAACACGAGTCTAATGACTGGCAGTTACCAAGCAAGACATCGAAGAACACTTCAGTACTCATGGGTCTGGTAAGATTACGGAAATCAAGCTGATGAACGGCTTCGGCTTCATCGAGTACGAAGACGCCATGGACGCGCGCGATGTTGTACCTGGTAAGTCTGTCCACTAACATTCATGGAGCTTGCTAATTCGTTTTGTAGCCTTCCGTATGTCATGATCTCTCGAATATTACCTATACCCTATTAAAACCGCAAACAGATGGCAGCGACTTCAAGGGTGAACGATTGACTGTGCAGTTTGCTCGTGGTCCCCGGCGCAAGGAGGCCTTCCCTGGTCCACCAGACCGCCCCACCGCTCCTCGTCCACGCCGTACCATGTTTCGGATGCAAATTTCTGGTCTCCCAGAAACAAGTTGGCAGGTCAGCAGCCCAAGCCCATTCCTCCCTGGACATCTCCCCCGGATCTTATACCTCGGCCTCTTCCCTTGATGCCATGCCCTCCCGTAGTCCTCGGTTTGATCGTTGGAACCAAACGATTTGCACTATCGATCCTGGTGTTACGGACAGCTTCTCCTCCTGGGAACATCGTTCATACCACACCAGTGACCTGTTGCTGAGGATTCGGAATCATGGCCACCAACCCAATTCCCTCATACCCGGACGTAGAATCTATTTGCCCTTTGCCCTGGACCCATTGGCCACATTACTTACTTCCTGGAACCTGGACTCACAACCTTCTTTAGGATCTGAAAGACTTCGCCCGCCAGTCTGGACTGGACGTTGTCTACTCGGAAACCGGCCGTGAGCAAGGAAAAGGGTAGGTTATGACATCTCAAGCCGGACCCGGGCTTTGTAACCTCAATTGACAATGGAAAAGGTTTGTTGAATTCGAGACCGCCAACGACCTGAAGACTGCCGTGGAAAAACTGGATCAACGCGAGTTCAAAAGCGCTGTTGTGTCCTGCATTGCGGATGTAAGAAACCATATCCATTCTGCCCCGGACCGTAGGAAGGATCCCCCATCTCATCTTCCCCACAGATTCAGACCAATTTTGATGACCGTCCCTTCCGGGACCCCTATCGGTCTCGCTCCCCACGTCGGCCCTATCCTCCCATGGAAGAATATGACAGAAGGTTCCCAGCACCCCGTGGCTACAGCCCCAGGGATCACTACCGGGAGCGATCCCCCATTCCCATGCGACGGGATTATTATGACCGAGAGGGCTATGGACGCCGCACTCCTCCTCCGCCACGGCCTCGGATGGAAGACTACCCACCACCGCGTCGTCCCTACGATGACCCGTATGATGCCCGGCCTCCACCCCCACCTCCGCGTCATTATGAGGACCCATATCTTGCAGCGCGTCCCTATGGTCGTCCCCGTACTCCTCCCCGAAGTGACTACGTTGGTTATGACCGCCCCCGCTACTGGTAGATAAGGATCCTTCCCTGGTGGTTTCTCTCATTTGTCCTTTTGGATCTTTGCCGCAGATGATTTGCCTTCTCTCCTCCACGAATACCCGCTACTTATTGCATTGCGCTTTATGGTACCATGAATCTTTTACATCTGCCGAGATTTTAGCGTGTTTTCCTGGCCAGATTTACTCTTTGAAATGGACGATACGTTTTATTTTTTCACTTTGTTTTTAAGGAATCAGTAGCCTCTCCACTCCAGATGTGGATGATTGGCAAAAGCAAGCCACCTATAATCATCCCAACCTAGGTATTAATGACCTCCTAAGCGTGAAGCATAAAAACTTTGATACTTACATAGTTCGCTGCATAAATTTGTTATGGCACGCTTGACTTTGGTCCAACCTTAGTTGGACCGTTGTGATCTACGGATAGCCGCCCCGCCAAAAAAACTTCCCAAGCTCCCCCACCTCCCATCTCACTCCACCTGGAATTTGCAGGTTCAAGTGGAAACGACCTCCAATACAGACACTGAAGAAGGAATTCATATCCCAAAGTACCCAAAATGGCTCAACCAAGCTCTGCCATCCATATTCCTCAACCCCCACCAGTCCTAGACAACGTCGTCCTCAAAGAAATCCAGCTCCCGCTCCCCGCAGCCCCAGAAGCCTGGCATCGCCCCGGCAAAGCCCAACCTTGCACCGCAACCCTCAAGCTCTCCTATTCCTCCGCTATTGCCTCCGCCGACACAGACGATGTCTCCCTCTCCATCGACTACGGAAAGCTTTTCCGCCGCCTCGAATCCGATGCCCGCAATATGACTACCACCTCATCCCCAGAGCACCACCGTATGGTAAGCTTGGATGGAACCCAGCGCGAGGACATGAAAGCCAGTGCTGTCGGTCAGGACCCACGCGCCACGGCGGGGATGGTTGCGAATGCGGGACTAGGAATGCTAGATGAGACGGCAGCGGGAGTGCGGCGGATGGCGCATGTGCAACCGAGCCCGCGGAATGGGTTTCCGGGAGCCGGAAATATGAGTGCGTCACCGGCCAAGTATCCGATCGAGGCAGAGTATGGAAAGTGTGAGGTCTGGCTACATTTCCCCAAGGCGCTGTTGAGGGCCGAGGAGGGACTGCGGTATCGCAGTCTAACGGTTTGGGGATACAAGCAAAGCGATTTACAGGAGAGGTGTCCTGTTGTCGTAGAGGAGGAGTTCCTAATTGAGGGGATTCGCTGTTATTGTATCCTCGGCGTGAATCCGCATGAGCGCATTGAGAAGCAGGCAGTGATCGTTTCGCTTGCGTTTACTGGTCCTGGACAGCTGGCTTGGGGATCGACTGTTGTGGAGACTTACCAGGCCATGACCAGAACTGTGGCTGAGGTATGCTTAAATTGTTATGCATTTAATGCATTTATGGGTGTATGCTGATATTATGAATTCATTAGCGCGTCGACAATACCACCTTCAAGACTGTGGAGGCCTTGGCTACAGTGGTTGCTTCCATTGCGACAGTGGAGTTTGGAAATGAACGGGTGACAGTCAAGGTTGAGAAGCCCAGCGCATTGGCATTTGTGCAGAGATCGGGTGTTGAGATCACCCGATCCAAGGCATTCTTCCAGAATCACGAGGCTCAACAGTAGGTATGTTGTGCATGACATTTCAGGCAGATCGCTGCAGGGACCTGCATCCACCGTAAACCAACATTTCTCCTTTTTAGAGTGCAATAAACTTCATAGTTAGAGCCGAACAACTGAAACAATCTTGGAACGTGGAAATGCCCTATGTAGAGGGAGAACAAGCTAATTGAACGAGCCTATCGTAGCACATGTAATCGGGCAACACGTGAACACCGGATCGAGGCTAGCGTTGGCCCCCCGGATTTCCGCCTCAAAGCGAGATGATTTTCTTCAGCTGGACTTGTAAATCTCATTCACTTCCACTTCGTGGGACCTTTGATAACTCACTTCAAAATTCTTGAATCTACTCACTTTCCGATTCTCTATGTGCCTATCTGCGCAGCCCTCTTCGCTTTCCATCCCTCTCACCAGCTACCTGGTCAGCTTGAACTTGATCTCCCTAGATTCTCCCTCGCAGCGCGTTCCTCCTGACATCCTCGACGTGTCCCCATATCCTGCCCCGACCACTTCCGCCTTGGCCTTCGATCCCGCCGCCGGCGAGGTGATCTGGCTTGTAGGGGTCCCAGGTCCGTCCTGAAGAAGGGCGGACGGTAAAACTACTCGAGACATTCCAGTTGGGGTCTGACCCAAACCAGAGAAGAGATTGTGCTGTGAGTTTTTTCAAAACTGAGGTACGTGTCGTCTTTTTTTCTTTTTCTGATCTTTATTTGCTTTGTCTGTGTTGCGATTGGTGGGGCCAAAAATCCCAAACAAGAAAGCTCAAATTTACCCCTCCAAAATCTGAAAGGACGAATTTAGGAAGCATGAAGCTGACCGGAATATCGGTATGTCCAATAGTTGCGATTTCGGTATCTTGAGTACCTACTTGCCATATTTTCCCGTTTTACCCGATCAATTGCCTGCTGGATAGCGACTCTTGTCAGTCTCTAGCCGAACGACCGTTGGAGGCATTCCCCCAGCATTGATATCCCTGTGAACCTCGACCAGGACGCAGATCCCATTCCTAAGTCATGGAATCTGCTGCGCCCCACGATGACATCTCCGTTGGAGATGTGTTCACCCCGCAAGCCGACATCGTGCAGCCCTCCACGGAAAATCCGACCAATCAACATGCCCCGGATGTCCACATGGCAGACCGGCTGTCGCCGCGCAAAGATATGGCCAATTACCTAACCAATCGAGATGGCGATATGAAACCACCGGCCTTGAATCCAGACCTGCTGACCGGGAAGGCGCGCCGGAAGAAGAAGAAGAAGCAGGCGAGCCAAGCCGATCCAGCTCGATCGACCGTACACGGCTTCGCGCCATTAGCCTCGGCTGATGAAGACTCGGATTTCTCAACCACAAGCTCGCGCGCCCCGAATTCGGGAAGTGCTACTCCTATTAGAAGGACCAGTCCCCGTGGTGGCCACGGAGTTAGCGCATTGAAGCTTCAACTCGATTCTCTGAACCTTTCGAACAAACCTAGTGCGGGTTCCAGTGGGCTTTGTTCCGAGACTCTTAGCAATGCGAGTGTTTATTCCGACAGTGATCAGACCGAAATCTTGACGAGCTATGAAGTGCCTCTGGACCAGGATTTTGTCAGTACGGATGCGGTAGACGAAGAGGCGGATAGTCCAGGGACAGCTGTGACTATGGATATGCGACGCCAGATGTGTCGCAAGATGACCGCACAAGATTTTGAGCCTATTCTATGCCTCGGCAAGGGCTCGTTTGGAACCGTGTTGCTGGTGCGCCATGTCATCACAGGCAAGCTCTATGCCCAGAAGCAGTTCCGAAAGGCCTCGCTCACTGTGCACAAGAAGCTTGTGGAGCAAACCAAGACGGAGCGCACGATCCTGGAGAGTGTCAACCGACACCCGTTCGTGGTCAAGCTATTCTATGCTTTTCAAGATCACGAGAAGCTTTACCTGATTTTAGAGTACGCTCAGGGTGGCGAGCTGTTCACCCATCTTGCCATGGAACGCATGTTTGACGAAGATGCCACCGCTTTTTACATGGCTGAGATGGTGCTCGCCTTGGAGCATCTGCACCAGAACGTTGGCGTCCTCTATCGCGATCTCAAACCCGAGAATTGTCTTCTGGACCGCGAGGGTCATCTGCTGCTCACCGATTTCGGGCTGAGCAAGATTGCTCTCAACGATGACGAACGCTGCAATTCTTCCCTAGGCACAATCGAGTACATGGCACCAGAAGTCGTGCAAGGCAAGCCGTACGGCAAAGCTTGCGATTGGTGGTCCCTTGGTGCTTTGGGCTTCGACCTCCTCACCGGCTCCCCGCCCTTCCGCGCAAACAATCACGCCAAGCTGCAAGAGAAGATCATCAAGCAGAAGCTCGTCCTTCCTTATTTTCTTGGGCCAGACGCCAAAGACCTTCTCACTCGCCTATTGCGCAAAGATCCAGCCAAACGTTTGGGCTACCACATGCCCAAGGATCTGATCACCATCAAGAAACACCGTTTCTTCCGCAAGATCGACTGGGCCGCTCTGGAACTCCGCGAAGTCGAGCCTCCAATCCGGCCTATCGTCACTGATCCGGCCCTTGCTGAGAACTTCTCTAAGGATTTCATCAATCTTCCTCTTAGCCCTACCGTTGCTAATGGGTTTGACGAGCTCTCCGCATCACCTTTTGCACCTAGCCATTCCCGGGCTTTGTCCACTGGACTTGGTGCTTCTGGTGATAATGAAATGTTCGGTGGATTCAGCTTCGTTGCTTCGAGCAGTCTCCTGGACCATGGACTAGGTGTTATGACTGAGTGATGTAGCTACTCACGGTTATCAAGGTCCCCAGCCTCAACCTTGGGGACTCCTCTTTTTTTTTTCGGGAGTTTCGTTTGACACCCACATTCTTTTCTTGCATTGCATTGCATTGTTTTGTGTTTTTTGTTTCCTTTCGATCTGCCGCTGCCATTGTCTTATGTTAGGCGCGCTGGAGGATAATCCTGCAGGGTCTTCTTGTTATTTGTTGCACTGCTGTTGCAGACCAATTCCCATAGATCTCGAACATACAATTTCGGTTACTGCAACTCAATCCTCTCGTAAAGTTATACTAGTTATCTTTGTCATTGGAAACCTTCGTAGAGTCATTTATGTACAGTCCATCCATATCCTCCTGGACAACCGCCTCACTTAGATGATCTTATCATGGTAGAACAAAACAGCAAAGAAACGGAAGCCCCTTGAGAAAACTCCCCATCATGCATCCAGTCCGAAGCAAGGCAAGGCAAAAGAAATAAAAGAAAAGAAATCTAGATCTCACCCTCTTCGCTTCCTCCCCCGTCGTCGGATGCATCTTTCCCTGGTGTCACTGTAGTATTTGGCTGATTGACATCCCTATCATCTGAGACCTCACCCTCTTCCGTGCTAGCTCCATCCTTAGCATTAGAAGCTAGATTCTGATTTGAATCCGAGCGAGAGGTATCCTCATTATTCGACAGTTTGGGTTTTGGGGGCAATGAAGCCATTGCTCGCAACGGAATACGAGGACGAGATGTAGGTGGGCCCGGGGGAGTTGCCACGTTAGGCGCGGGTGAAACTGTGCATTGGCGCTTTGGCGAACGCTCGCCGTTCGATGTTTGGCTCTGAGGTGGGGGGATAGGACTCGGGTAATGGTTTTCTGAAAAAGATTCCGGCTCGCGGGAGCGTTTGCGCCCATTCATAGCGGGGGAGTCTGCTGCAGGCGTAGAGAGAGATGAAGTGATATCTGGGGCAGAGAGAGGGTTACTGTGGAAGAGGCGGGTGGGATCGTTGAGATCTGCGTCGCTGATGGTGAAGTCTGGGTAATTTTTGCTCAGATTCTGCTGTACGCGCTCGTAGATCTTGACGATGAGTTTGCAGGCGGTTATGAGGTCTTCGACGCGGACATCGATTTGCTCCCACCATGGACGACCTTGGGGATCATCTGGGAACGAGACCTTGCAGTGGCGCGCAGCTGCATAGAGAGCTGCGGCGGCGATGACACGCGGCTGGAACAGCAGAGAGAGCACGGTGTATGTGGAGTCATTCAGGAAGGCGTAGGCGGCGTGTCGAAGGGGTCGGTTGTCGGGGACGTTGAGGAAGAGAGAATAATCCCACAGTATGCGGTAGGGCGACTCGAGCTGAAGGTCGAAGCACAGGAATTCGAGCATGACGCTCTCATTCTGTAGAATCAGATCCCGCCACTTCCAGTAGTCTTTCGATTGCTCATCGACAATCATATCGGGCTGCTTCATGGCAACACGGCAGCATGCCACGACAAAGTCCTTCATTCGGCGCATGGTCTCGTCCACCTTGAACGCGACGAAGAGCGACACCGCCGCGATGACCTTTGGATGCATCAGATCCCCACCTTGTTCAGGATATTGCCCGCGTAATGAGTAGCGCATAAGGAATCGGTGCAGGAAAACGGTGGCAGTCATTGACGTTTGTGGCGGCATCTTAAGCATCATGCTCACCTGCCAGATGAACTCGACAGCTCGGTGCCGGATATAATCCTCCTGTTCACGATTGATCTTATCTAAGCGCGACGGGGTTCGCTCCATATCCTCCTCTGTGAACAACCATTTTTTTTCGGCTGCTGCCACCACAGGGTTGGGCAGACCGGGGATGCGGTGCTTTGGCGGCGCCGGAGACGCCGTAGACTCCATTTGGGACAATCCGGTCGTGTCAAGAACAGTTGGAGTGGGGAGGGAAAGCGAACAAGAGCGCCGAGAGGTTTGAAGACAGGGGATGGAGGTTGTGCCTGCTTCTCACGAGGAACGTGGCCGGGAAAGCGCGCCTGCGCGCTTGAAGGAGTTTATAGATGGCGATCCGAGGCTAAAAAGTTGTCCAGTCCAATCAAGCATAGCGGGTCTTTTCATCGCATTTCGGGGGTATAATCGGGATCAGGTGACTGTCATATAAGGTGGATAATAGCGTTTACCCCTAGGAACCGAACGAGCTTATAGCAACGGGCGAGCCTCTACGTTCAAAGGGAAGTGAAAGTGAAAGCTACTCGGAACGGAATAACCTCAGGCTCCGAGCCCAGCCGAAGTATAGACCGCAATTGGCAAAACAACCATATCAGGGAAGAACAAGAAAAGCGAGCAGATATTAAATGTAAAAGAAAATTTTGATGATGTAATGTGCCGTAAGATATCTCCGATGCAAGTCTTTATCTTGGACTAGCTGTACGAAGTAATCTCCCTAAGCGCTTCTACTTCATACACGGCTTAGCACTCTACTAACTCGTAGAGATTGAATGAACGGGCAAATAAGAAAATTCTCCATGTACATTTGGTATCTCTGGTCCTGTACCCTAGCGCCCACGCTGATAGTGCAATGCAATGCTAAAAAAAAAAAGAGATAAAGAAAGATTAGAGTACACGAGGCACAAGGCTTTTACTCCTCTTCGCTGACCTCGCTCTCATCATCACTGGCCACATTGTATCGTCCAGAAGCATGCTGACTGTACTGTTGACGGCGAGCCTCTTCTTCCCGAGCACTTTCCTCAAAAGCAGCTTCCATCTCCGCTGCGAGTAGATCATCTTCATCCTCCAAGTCTCCAGCGGGGGCAGCCGGGGCTGGCGGAGGGTGTTGAGTATTTCGTGCCGGTGATGGAAGCCGGAAGCTATCAATATCATCCTCCCTGTCTTCGTCGGGAGTGTTATCATTGGAGAAAAAGGCCGGATTGACCAATGTTCGGGATGGGCGTGGCGATCCCATGTCAATAATCAAATCGCCGTCGACAATGATATTCGAGCCAGCAGACTGGACAGTATGCTGCGATGTGTCTGATACAGCGGAGCGACTGTCGTCGTTATCATGTGGGTCAGGATCTGTATAAGTGGGTTCGATGACCGGCTCGATGACCGGCTCTGGGGCCGGTTTAGGTGGAGTTGGCCGAGCCTGTGGCTTCGGCGCCGGGCGTTTCGTCTCTCGCAGTGGGTTTGCTTGTTTTCTCGGTCGGGCCATAGGTTTCGGGGCAGGCTTTGTGACTGGGATTATGGGGGTGTTTGTCTTGCTGGTATAGACTGGCTCCGGGGTGCTGTGTCCTGATGCCGGCTTCAAGTCCTCCGCACCCTCCTTAGGAAGGAAATGTCGGAAGTCATATGGATTGCTGTCGTCAGCAGGACCCTCGTCCTCACTGACGCCGCCGGAATTGCGATCGTCCCCTGAGGTGTGTTCATCCTCCTGTACTATGCGGAGCTGTTCATATTGCTCAATGACCTGTTTCTCCGTCTTCCCCGGTGCCGATCGCAGGTTGAAGTTAAACTTGGTGGCCACAGGCTCCAGAACGAAGACCTTGCGGTCGGGATCAAATACGAGGACCAGGTTGCGCTCGCTGTCAGGGTCCTCGCTGCCTTTGTAGGCGTAGGTCAAGTTGTGATCGGCACTCGGGGCCTTATCGGTGACGGAAAGGTCGTAGAGATCGCGCGATCGGCCGGAGGGAGTAACGGTCGAACGTTGTTGTGGTGTTACATGCTTGGTCTTGTAATTGTAGTTGACATTGATCAATCGGCTTCGATCTGCATCGGCTAGCCGTTCACCCAGGACAATGGGGTACTCGGCCTGCTTGGTCGGGTCAATCAGCGTGGGGGCGGCCATGGCTTCGCCACTGAGGATAAGATAGAAGAGGTTGCGCGACAAAATAAGGTATGCCTTGGGAATTATAATATGCCTCTATGAAACAAGGAGAGAAGGCGAAAATAGTGTATAAGTGAAGAGTGAGAGAGGAGTTGAATGAAAGGAAGAGAGAGAAGTGACACAAGGTCCAAACACGGGGGGAAGGCGGAGACTCGCCCCGACATTAGCTTGTTCAATAGGCTTGGCGCTACAATACAGTATATCGGTGTGCTATCATAAAAACACCGTGAATGCGCTTACTGCATTCAATGCACTGCCACCCGACTGGTCAATTGTTCCAGTCGTCCTGCCAGTGCTCGGTGTTTGCGCATCACTTCCTCCCACTCATACTCGATCTCCTCCTCCCCACTTAACTCCGTAAGAATCATGCCAAAATCGCCCCCTAGGCGACCCAAACTAGCCGCACAGTACAACAATTGTGTGAGCAGACTCTCGCGCGAGCTCCGGTCCCGGACATTGGGAAGGTATGTTCTCATAGTATCGGTCAGGAGTTGCACAAGGTGCATGGGGAAGGTCGCCAGAGCAGATGGGCGATTTTGCAATGAATCCGACGATTTGGGTTTGGCATCAGATCCCCGTAGCCCTAGCGCAGCAGACTCAGGCTCCGATTGCTCTGCAGCGAATATGTTCTTGTATAATGAAACAATGGCGAAGCTCTGTTCTCGGAAGATCTCAATGTATCGTTTCAGATAGCGGTCCGTTTGCTGGCCACCCGACCATGAATCTGCCTTATCCTTGCCATTTGTCCTCCGCTGTGTTTCTTGGTCGGCAAGTTCTCGTAAGGGATCCAGTGCCTCCAGAGTTGAGACCAGATGGGCCAGCCGGCAGATCAGAAAGATGGCGCCCAGCGCTCCTTCTCCTGTCCCTGTGGCTCCTTCAGTCTGCAGAGTCTCCAAGTCTGGCGCGACTCGCCGCAACCAGCCTACTGTTCGCATGCCCGCCGCGAGTCGTAAGTTCTGGGCTCGGAGCCCCGCAATGAGATTGGTGGTCATTTCTTTCATCGCGTCTTCGGCCTGGGCCGCTACATCTTGGATCAGAGGCGACTCGGGGTATAATGTTTGTAGTCGCTTGATGTGTGCGTGCAAATCGAGTGCGGAGGAGTAGGTTGTGGATGCTGCACCCGCTCCTGAATTGGCCGATGCCGCGGACACTGCGGTGGATAGGAGGGAGGGCAATTCGAGGATATCAGACAATCGATCCACATTGCGTGTCAATTGCATAGCTTTCTTCCGTCGTTCTAAGGCAGCATTGTCGGTGATCTTGCTATACTTCGTGGAGAATCCCACGGCCGCTTCGTCCAACTTGGGGACAGCATCACGGAGTTGTTGTGCCTCTCGGGTCAACTTGGGGATGGAATCGCGAAGGGTAGATAAATTATCGGCGGACGTAATAAAGGATCGGTGAGAGCGGTTGGACAATGCTTGAAGCGAGAGAAGCGTCGAATGGGCGGATTGGGCGAGGGACTGAGGTTCGGTGGTCTGGAGGTTTTGCAAGGACAAAGTGGACAAACGATTAAGATATTGGGAAGTCGTGGCATCACTAGATGGTGGCGTCTCAAGATGCGGAGCCAATAGCTCCAACAACGAGTCAGCCATGTTGCAAAGTTGAAGTAAATGTATGTAGTTGAAGCTGGCGATTGCGTAAAAGCCGCGTGCTGGAAAGAGCCGGGTGGTCCGTGCGACAAGAAACAACGTATCGGCGACGAGAACCTTGTTTAGTTCTTCCAAACTCTTCCTTGTAAAGAGTTCAGGTGCCAGGGATTGTTGCAATTACCTCGTGGGTAGAATTTGTTCTATCACCTACTCGTTCTCTAGTTACTTTCTCCGACAAGGGCCCCCTCCCCCGCATCTCCAGTATCTTGACTCTCTGTCCCATATGTCCCATCAACCATGGGGAAACCACGGGTGAGCCTTGAACACCGACAGTGATACAGCATCAAATCTAATACTGGCTTCTTATAGATGATCATTCTTATCCGCCATGCGCAGTCAGAAGGCAACAAGAACCGCGATATCCACCAGACAACCCCGGATCACCGAGTCAAACTCACACCCGATGGATACCGTCAAGCCCAAGAGGCAGGCCGACGACTACGAGAACTTCTCCGCCCCGATGATACCCTTCATTTCTTTACGTCTCCTTATCGCCGGACGAGGGAGACCACTGAAGGTATCCTAGACTCATTAACTTCAGACGACCCGGACCCCTCGCCGTTCCCGCGGAATACGATCCAAGTCTACGAGGAGCCCCGGCTACGAGAGCAGGACTTTGGAAACTTCCAACCATGCTCGACAGAAATGGAGCGAATGTGGATGGAACGGGCAGACTACGGCCACTTCTTTTACCGCATTCCCAACGGCGAGTCGGCGGCAGACGCATACGACCGCGTGAGTGGGTTTAACGAGTCCCTGTGGCGACTATTTGGCGACGATGACTGCGCTAGTGTTTGCGTCCTCGTTACACATGGTCTCATGACTCGGGTGTTTCTAATGAAATGGTACCATTGGAGCGTGGAGTACTTCGAGGATCTTCGCAACATAAACCACTGCGAGTTTGTAATCATGACCCACAATGAAGACAACGGGAAATACACATTGCAGAACAAGCTCCGGACCTGGTCCGATCTACGAAAAGAAAGAGATGCCGAGAAGAAGCGCGAACGAGAAGCACAAGGGCTGAGTCCTACTATTCCCCCTCCCCCAGAGCATATCCCCATACGGCGAAAATGGGGTGGCTGTCCTGATGGATGTACCCATGGCCTGTCTGCTGATGCCAAAAAGACTCTCCGGGGGAGGATGTTCGAAACAATGCGCCAAGAGAATGACAACAACCGGGAAGGCGCTGAACCAAAATCGGCTACATCGGCTTCCAAAGACACAGATCAAACGTACAGATCTAAACCAGGCGGTTCACAAGATGGCTCTGACTTCAATGAAGAAAACTCCGAAAGCGATCATGCACAATCCAATCCTCGACCCGAAGTCGAGGCCGAGGAGGCAAAAAGATACAGAACCGGTGACTCCAGTTCCGATTCGCGAATCAACAATATTTCTCGCCCTATCCGACCAGTTCCTCGAGGTCTTCGTCGAGATAGTGAGGACAATCTCCAGCACCCAACCGCTGCAACGTCATCCACAGCATGTCTAAAGCTAGCTCTTCTTCACCTAAGAGGCCGTGACGGAGGTGGCTCCATGAGCGGCGCAAACAGCCTCGCCCCATCTGATGACGAGGCAGAAGACAACTATACAACACAGCCAGTTTCCGCACATCTCCAATCAAAGCCCGCATTGAACGTTCCTTCGCAAAATGCAGAAGATGACGGCGATGACGAGCTCAGCGCGCACCATACGGAGGAGGCAAAAAGGGTTCGCCCTCACAATAATCATTACACTCATCATCATTACCACCACCAGACTATGAACGACTCGCATGGTCACACTTCTCACCATCGCTACAGCTCTTCCACAAGTTCATCGCAGCCGCTGCACCGCATGGCTAATATCCTTGGGGACGGCGATGATGTTTCACAACACTCTGACGGACATACCCCCGAATCAAGTTATCGAAACCCTGAGACAAAGTCTTCGAACAAGAACCATAATGAACCAGAGGAAAAAGAAAACCTTACACTGGAAGAGCAGCAACGACAAGATCAGAGTGTGCAAGGGAGCATATACTGATTGCCCCAGACCAAGAACTCTTATTCTCTACTTTGTTTTCTTTTCTTTCTGTTTTGTGCTTCAGTTCACATGCATTCCTCGGGTCTCTGACAATACCTGGATACGGATATATGACGGATGGCCGAGGGATCATTGATATTGGTTGGATGCATTCTATCCGACTTAGCGTTACGACTGCGACGATAATACGAACGGTTCAGGCTTCAGACCAGATTAGATACTAAGCTAGTCTAAGGCATATTTAAATTGTGATTTCAGATTTGATAGTTATACGCTATGCTTTACATCCTCCACAGTGTATTAACATTCATTCTTCCGCGAATTAGCTCTATAGCTTTAGCGTATTTAACCAAGCTCGTCGCTGGCTACAGTTAAGATTTAAGCATGACTGTAGGCCAAATCCCTCAAATATTGATACTGTTTTCCAACCTTGTAGGTTGTTTGATTTATATTCAATGTTAGGCTTATATCAAATAAGCATCCAAGACCTCAACTCCCAATATTGAGACATCATGCACCATGACCCAGACAATCCCGAGTTCAGCAAGTATACTACACGTGGATCAAATCCTATATCAAACACAGAGAAAGAGAGGACATTTAGACAAAAATAATAGTTTGTCAAGTATTTTGGGCTTGGACCATGACGCGCGTTCAACACACAAGACCACAATGACAAAGACTCACGGACGGACAAGCGAACCAGCGACCAGGAGAAGCGTCAAGTCAAGACATTGAAATTGGCGATGACATGCAATGGAAGACAAGCATCGATACTACGTACAGATCAGACCCTCACGGAACTGACTGAATCCCCAGAGCTAGACAGACTGGAAAACATGCATGTGCAAAAGGAGATATCAAGTGCACCCATATTGGTCGCTCTGCAAAGCTTGATGAGGGATCATGGGGAAAAAAAAAAAAAAAAAAAAAAAAAACACGTCAAATCGATCACTGAGCGATTGCGCTGCAGACGTCGTAAATCGAAGAGAGCAAAGGAGAATGTAATCATATCAAGTTTGTTTGGTCGAATTTCGGTAATTGAGGTTGGAAACCGAGAGTGATGAGAAGATATTAACGCCGGGAATTGACTGTAGCGTGGGGAATTGAAATCGAAATAATGTACCGACATGAAGAGGAAGAGAACAAGAGAGAGAAAAAAAAGGCAATCTATGGGTAATCAAAGCGAGACGAAGAAATGCCAGGCATGAAGAGAAAAAAGGGAGAAAAGAAATGAAACGAAGATATGAACCGAAGTCATGGGTAATAAACAAAGGTCAGATTTTATGAATTCGTGATCGTCGTGACTGCGTCCCCAGCCACCAGGGCCGGACTTCAAAAGACCCGGTGGGCCTGGCTGGTGTGACACGATGTCCAACCGGACGATTGGCATGGTATCGTAGATTGTTTTGGCTGGGGCGTGCCAATGTCGCCGCGGGGAGCGTTTTTTCCTCTTTTTTTGGTGTTTTTGAGTTTTTCGCTTAGCCGACACGAACTAGCAGACGCAGAACAAATAAAGACTTTTCGGAGGGGACGCGGAATGCAGATCGATCAAAGTGAGGCCAGGCGAGTCAAAAAAAGATGACAGAAGGGCGTAAGCGTCGAATCAGATCAGGAAGCAGCGAACAGAGTAGAAATAACAGTATCGTCAAGAGAAGAAAACCATGCAAAATCACTCAACCATCGCAAGGTAAAAGATAAAGTCTAAAAAGGCTGCACCGAAGAGGACAAAAAGGTCGACGGGGTCATTGACAACTCAATTAACAAGTGTCGTCCGTTTCCATCCGTAGTCATGAATCAGCGAGTAGGGATAATCAAGGAATGACACGGCTTAACCTGCAATGATGGGCTGCAGAGCCGGGAAGGCGGTGTTACACATGTAGTGCTCGACGTGTTTGGCACAGTACATACAGCCACAAGAGGAGCCGTGACCAGTCCAAACACTCTGTGCGAAGGGCAGACCGTAAGCCGGAGTGTGGTGGTACGACGGAGGCTGTGACCGAGGTACTGATGCAGGTAGGTACTGCGGGGGCGGAATCCAGGCCCGCGAGTAGGGCGGTGGTGGGTTGGGGTATGTCCAGGTGCCAGCTGCGTAGTAGTCAGGAGTGTTGGGCCCGCTGTGAGGAGCCGAAGGAGGTGAGTACTCAGATGCGGCCGGGTTGAGCCACGAGTTCTCGCCGCGCTGGTATTGAGGAGGAATGGGGCCTTCGGGGGACATGAGGGGTTTGGCGACAGTCTGTTGGTGTTGTTGTTGTTGTTGTCGAACAACATTAGTGTCGAGGGGCGCCAAAGACTGGCGAGACTCTTGGTGAGCCCGCGCATTGGCCTTGGCGCGCCAGCTGTCCCAGTGTCGGCGCCACGAGGAAAATCCATCCTGCTCGTCATACATGCGGTTGTGGATTTTCCACTCGAAAGCGAACAGCCACTCCAACTCCATCTTGTTAAGTTCGGACACGGGGATATTGCTCACTTCCGACCAGGACTTGTTCTGGAAGGTGTTGTCGTCGAGGAACTTGCTACCGAGCAGCAAGGCCACGGTGAGCATGCGGTAGATCTGACCGCTGCTGGTCTGAAACACGCGCTGAGACGAGAGTTGGCGCATGCGGCAAGACAGATAGTACAGGCCCAGAAGGATGGTCGAGCTAGGCAGGCGGGTCGAGGACAAAATCTGGTAGACGTATTTCCGGAACTGAGGGGGTACCGAAGATCCTGGGGAGATGCTTCGCATGATGTCAATATCTGCAAGGGTGATCTTGGTGTTGTACAATGCATACATTCCCTGGGTCATTTCCGCCACGAAGTCGGACATGCGATCCATTTCGTAATCCAGGTGGGCGGCAACACCTCCGGTTGCCTTTTCCTCCTTACGGGGTTGCTCTTGCTGCATCGGGGCGATATCTTGACGACGGTACTGCGGGGGAATGGCACTGTCCATAGGCGGCAGCTGAACACTGGAGCGGAGCGGTGGCAGAGTTGCCATCGGTCCGTACATGGGCTGCTGAGCCATGCCGTGCAAGGACTCCCGAGTAGGGTGCATCATGTTCGCCGACTGGTGGTGCAGGTTCATCGAGTTGGGCTTGGTGTACCGAGACTGGGAGTAATTTTCAATAAACTCACAGCCACTCTGATGGTAGCGGGGAGGGAACGCAGAGTGGTTGATCGGGTAGAAGGACGGTTCGTCCATACGACCACTGCTGTTGACGTGAGGAGGGGTAGGAGGCAGGCCGTGGCCTGGCACGAAGAAAGACGGCATTTCAAGGGGGGAGTTAAAGAAACACCAGCTCAGAACGGGGAGGCGAGACGAATGTGAATGCTGTCGCGTCGGGTTGAAGTCAGCGAACAATTCGAGCGAAACCGGTGAAGTCGACGTGGCAATAGAAGAAAGAAAAGTTCGACGAACCGTCTACAGCTCCGCGCCGTTCTGATCCTGGGTAAGGGAGAGCGCTGCTCAGCGAGCGTATCGCTCAGTTGTGGTCCTAGGGAGCGTCTCTAATCGAATGACATTGAGAGTCGTTCAATCAATCTGGGACCGAGAAACACAAATCAGACAGAAGGAATGTGGTTAAATCGGGACCTTCTTGAAGCTCAGAATACTGCGACTGAGAGAAGGCTGATCCACAAGATTGAGCAGAATCGCAAACTTTGAAGAGTATCTCTAGAGATTATTCTGGGGGGCGCGCACAACGGATATCCGCGATACAAAGATGAATCACGAAAAAGTTTTTGGGGTTTTCCCTCGCGTAGAGGCAAATCTCACTCGCGTGAGATCAGCAACGACACTTAGTGAAAAGCTCGTTGGAAGGGGGAGAGGTTGGATAGGAGAACGAAAAGGGGAGAAGAGTAGGTTGAAGAAGGTGAAAAGGGAGACTGTGTGTGGGTGGAAGTGGCCGTGGGTGTTACAATACGTGACGGGGGCCTGGACTTGAACTGCGGCAAAAAATTTCATTCACTCACCGTACTCATTCCCAAAAACAGAAAAACAGAAAACCAGTGAAAACCATAACCCCAAGCCCTTTTTTCACCGTTTCACTGAGTTCTTAACCCGAAACCCGAATCCCCCGGTCGCGATTTAAAATAAATTAAACATTTATTAGAAATGAACAATGTCAACCTATGGTGTACAAGGATATGAGAAACTACTTTTCTGGATATTGCCTCCCTGGTGGCTGTTTCTACGCGTAAGATAAAACCTATGGGGGGCACCACCCCTAATCATCGGTGATGCAACGCCCGTGTCACTCCCCCTAAATCAATAAGAAAAAAAAAATCTAAAAAAAGGTTACCAAAAAAGACCAAAAAAAAAAAAAAAAACGAACTCGTGCGGACTCCACCTGACTAATCCCCGGTAACAGAAAAAAGTGTTGAACCCCCATAGTCTCCATAATAAAACCCCATAATAAATTACTAAAATACGGCCCAAGCGTTAAAACATTCCAGCCCGTTGCTTAGTCTACAAGGTGTCCTCGACTCCTTTCAATGTAATCATTCTATGTGTTCATTCTTTGATATTTATAGTCACTACATATTATGCATATTGTTAATGTTCGACAATACAATAGTACTTACAATGAAGTACGGAGGGGGGAACTATGGGATTTAATGCAGTAAGCTATCATTTAGGCCCTAGATCCGCTGTCCCTTTATCACCCGGTACAACCAAGTAAGGGAAAGTCCCCCCTCTGAGTCACAGACCAAATGACAGTATGATAAATCCCTGCAGCCTGCATAGCGTCATGCCGCATGGCCAGTAGTGACAGGAGAGGGGGAGGCAACACCGGTGTGTCGAACTGACACCGGGGCCCGCGGTAGATGCTCTCATTGGACTGGAGGGTCCCATAGTACGGGATGTACACCTGGCATGCACACGGCCAACTGGAGGGACCCCATCCGAAGGTTTACTGCGTTGTTCATGATTCTTATTGGGGGCCCCGGTTATTATTGTCTCCAGATCTGGTCACACTGGACAGTGGACACTGCCTTGGGGCTATGTGTAGGTCCGTAAAGGAGTCGTTCTAGAGAAATATAAAATAAAAAATGAAATCCCGCCCTGCTTTGTCCTCACTACCAAATTGTCAAAGCTTTGATTACCTCAAATTCATTGCACCTTCTTCAAGAGAGCTGCATTAGGCCTAAGCCGCTAAACTTAGCGCTTGGCTGGAAATTCTGGTTTATTGCTCTTTCAAGCTTGCCAGAGAAATTCCCTAAGCCTTCTTTAGTAAACTTGCCCCTTTTGGGTGGAGAATCGTGTGCCCGGATACACTCGGCCCAACTGTTCCTTCACGTTGCGTCGGGCAGAACATTTCTTTAACCCCGCCATGGAAGAATCCGGGCGCCCCTCTCTGTTTGGGTTTTGTTTTGGGTGGGGAGAGGCAAAACAAGGAAGATTCCCGGATAGTGGAGGCTGGGAAGCATTGATTAAAATGGTACTTCTGGATACATATCAATACATGCTACCAATTTTGCCTGTAGAAGATTATGTGAAGTTCATGGTCTAGTTTTCCTGCGGAATATGGATTGGTATTTCTATAGTGCTAGCTTTTGGTTTTGTTTTTTGAAAATGCCCACGCCTATAGGCGTCGGGAGGTAAAAAAAGGGTGGTTAGACAACACACAGGCTCGAGAGCGCCCGAGCCTTCCCCTGTGGCCATGATGCCCATGTGCCAACCGAAAGAGAAGAAAAAAAAAGACGAAGTGGAAAGAAATCAAAATCAAAGAATACACAAATGATGTCCAGGCGTATGCCCGAACAGAGGGATATCATTAAGATTCAACAGAACCCAGTCACAAACAAAGACATAGACTCGTATACTCGATAAATCGTCAGGGAGGAAAACACTTTCCCCTCCCGGTCGAGTTCTTCCAAAGAAACACCCCCGATCTACCCGGGGCATCCCCAAGCAGATCGGGTCGCACCAAACTTTGATCAGAATAAACAGACGAAATGGAAGAGATGAAAAAAAAAAGAACGGATCAAAACTCCAGGGGAGCCATTCCCCAAGAACGTGCAAAGGGTCGTAAGTCGTGACGAGAAAAAACCAACGAAGAAAGATCGGCAAAGCGGCTACTCGTCTTTCAAGCTTCCAACCAGGTTGCGAAGCACGTCCATGATGACACCCTCGTCCTTGGGTTCTCCACCGGGGAACGAACTTTCAGTGGCATTGCCTAACACACGGGCACGGGCACTGCGAAGCACCTCTCGGATGTAGTTCTTGTCCTCGTAGTCTTCCATAAGAACGGCCTCAAAGTCATCGATAGCCTTGTTCGCACGCTCGGTAAACGAGGATGTTTCCGGTGGTCCATGCGGCATAGAGCTTTGTCGCGGAGGCATTTGCTGCTGCTGGGAATGCGTTGGTGGACCAGGTGGTGGCGGAGGTGGTTGCTTTGGTGCCTGGTGGTGGTGAGGCGGTACCACAAGTTGATGCGGCTGCTGATGCTGATGCTGATGCTGCTGATGTTGTTGGTGCTGATGCTGGGAAGGATGAGGCTGCTGAGGCGGCTGTTGCTGCGACTGGACCGGCTGCTGATGCTGGGGTTGGAACTGAGGCCCTGGAGGTGGGAAAGATTGCGGTTGTGGATTCATGTGTTGTTGTTGAGGGGGATTTGGAGGTGGGTAGGGAGACTGCTGCTGAGGCGGTAGTCCCTGTCCAGTTCGTGGAACTGGGGCCTGCTGAGCCTGAGCACCCTGTCCAGGTGGATCGACTGCATAAGGAGATGTGTAGGTTGACGGGATGGTTCGAGCAAAGGCCGCCGGAAGACTGCTGCGAATAGTGCTCGCCATGGGGAAGGATGCAGCCGCAGGAGCAGGAGCAGGGGTAGGAGTAGGGGCAGGGGAAGGAACAGGTGCAGAAACAGGGGCAGGGGCAGGGGTAGGAGTAGGGGCAGCAGGAGGAGCAGAGGGAGCAGAAGTGACCGGTGCAGAAACAGGAGGAGCAGGAGCAGCGGCGGTAGGAGGGGGTGGTGCTGCGTAAGGACTTGAATGTTGAGGAGCCGGCGGTGGCGCAGAGAAGTTGGTAGATGGCATCGGAGGGAATTGAAAGTTGTGATGTTGAGCTTGCATCGAAGGTGGTCCGCCAGACGGAGGAGGATAGGAGTGAGTAATAGGTCCCATATATGGCTGGGGAGCTGGTGCCGACACCTGTGGTGGAGGCTGTTGCGGCGGCGGTGGAGGAGGTGAGGGCCTTCTCTTCTTTTCTTTCTCGACGGAAGCACCAGGCCGGAGCTGCCATGACCAACCCTTACCATCTCGCTCCGCGTGCATGAACAGGTGGCCGTTGCCATTGAGATTGTGTCGTACACTTGAGGTCCATCCCTCCGTCTCACACTTGAAGCGGAAGTAGGGATACTTCAATTTCAAGGCGCGGTAAATTTGCTTCAGCGTCATCGGGGTGCCAGCCTCTGTCAGAGCATCAAAGATGAGAACAGCGTAGTTGTAAGGCGGCTTAGCCAGATCCTCCTGCGTATAAGCAGACTCAGGAGGATAATTTGGAGAAGGAGAGCGAGAGGGCTTGCGCTTCTTGACTGGCGGAGGCTTCACGTATTCCTCGGGCCGCTGCTCTGCAGGGAATTGGCCACTTTCCATTGAAGGTAGAGGGAAGTCCATCGAGGTGCCATCCTTCTTCCGCTTGTTGTACTTCCGCTTCTCTGAGGGCTTGACAGATGATGGGGGCGATTCAGCACCAACAGATTCCTGAGTGACAGCGGTAGTTGTTACTGTCTTGCCTGACTTGGCTGGCCGGTTTTGCTGTGGCGGCGTGACACCTCCATTGGCTTCGCGCTTAGCGGCTATCTTCTGCTCCCGAGCAAGTTCAGCTCTTTCACGCTTGGACATGATGCCATCCTTGGGAGGCCGACCAGGCCCACGTCGGCGGGCCGGTTGATCTCCTGATTCGACGGACTGTGCCTTCGAGTCGGAATCCTTCGTCTTGAGGACGATCTTAGTCATCTTGGAATCCTTGCCGTCACCGTCGCTCAAGGGTCCTCCCATATCATCATCAAGCTCATGCTCGGCGTCGGCATCGGCGTCAGCATCAGCATCGGCATCGATAGATTCCATAACATCCTCTTCTTCTGCTGCCTGCTCTTCCAAGCGATCTGCACCAGTCTCTCCAATGGGCACATCTGGCAGTAAGAATCGAATGCGCACACCTCCAATTTGGATGTAATCTCCACTGTGCAACGGCCGGAGTTGACCTGGTGATAACCAATCGGCTCCAATGAAAGCTCCATTTCGACCCATGACCTCCATCTCAAAAAGACTCTTGTCAAAGTTGTAGGCAATACGAACGTGCCGGCGCGAGATTCCGCGGTGACCTGCGGCACTGCCATCGATTGTTGATGGGGGATGAATGGGAATGGTGGGACAAGAGTCAGGGGATGGGAGTAAAGCCAAGGCATCAACTGGCTTAGGGTCGGCGTTGCCATCCTGAAGAGATTGCATCGCAAGCGCATTGTAGTCCGTTGATGTGGTCTGCAATTGGGCCGGATTTGCATGCAAGGGCATGGACGATTCACCGAGGGAAGACTTTGATGACCGTCGGCTGATGTTTAAATTTGATGGAAGATGCGGGGGGACATCTGGATCAAAGCCCATGATACCTCCACGATCACTGACCACGCTACCCATCATGGCAGCACTTTCCTCCCGCTTCATGCGATTGGGAGTGTGTGAAGCATTACCACCACTTGAGCTCTTTGCCCGAGAGCTCCGCACGGCCTGCCGATACTGGATTTCTCGCTGGTGGGCGGCGCGCGCGGCTCGGACATCTCGCCCGAGGATGAAAGAGTAGGTATTACAGTAGAAATGTCCATCATCAAACTCCAACTTGGCAAATGCCTGGATGCGAGGCTCGGAACCAGCAATGGATGCGGATGCATCTTGATATCCAAGCGCTGATAAATCAGCGCCCTGTGAGAGATACGCGGCGGTCAAAAGCTCATTCTGCTGGAGGGCATCAAAAGCATTCTTCGGAGCTCCAGCCAAATCGAAAGCAGGCAGAAGTGATGGCTGCTCCAGACTCTGCTTGGGGTTCATCGGATCGGAGAGAGAATCCATGGCGTCTGATAATCGATGTCCTACTCCACCTCCTTCCTGCGAAGGTGCACCAAGCCCTGCAAGGAAATCCGTCATCGGAAAATCACCATTCGACATATTGGGCATCTCCGTAGATACCGAGGTAGGATCATGTGGTAGGTTCGAATCGGCGTTCGTCGAGAATTGAGCGCTTAGATCGAGTGACGGGCGATTTGAGTCGTGTAGTCCTTCATCCTGTTGCTTGATCGGTTGCCCAACGGATTGCTCTGGCGCAGAGGGATTTGGCGCGGACTGGTTTCCAAGCAGTTGGGCCAATAGCGCCCCGGCAGCTGACTGGGCATTCGAATCCTTGGTGTCTTCAGCCATGGCGAAGTCCTGGTTGTCGAACGACTCTCTCTTTATTCCAATCGGAGTGGCGGGCAAGCCTTTCGAGGCTGGGGCAGAATTATGCATGTCGGGGATTGCGGAGTCGCTTCTAGGGTCGGAGTGAGGCGAAGCGTCGTGCTGTGAGCCGCCATAGTCGTACATGGGCGTATCGGTGCCTGGATCAGGCGGTCGATGGCCCACCGCTGGCGCCGTCATGGTCTGCGACGACATGGCTCTGGAGAGGAGAGAAGGGAAGAAGCAAAAGCTGAAGTTCTCTCTTTTGGGGCCGGGCGGTGAGAGTAGATTTGCCCGACTGGTCACTGCACGTGGCCGTAGCTGAAGGATCGTTCTTAGCGTGAATACCTGCCCTGCATGATCACGAATATATATGGAGTCGACCAAAGAAATGAATGGATACCAGTGAACGAAAGCGAGATCTCAGGTTGAATAGAAAAAGGTTGACACCGTCCCATAGGTAGACGATCCTCCGGGTCAAATTTTCTCTTCCCGCCCCGCTCCTTTCTCCGACTTGATCCACTGGTTTGGGTGCCTGGCTCCTCACCGATTCGAGGGATCGACTAGATACAAAGAACCCAATCCTTAATCTCTCGAGATCTTGATCGCAGTTTCCCACAAGCCAAGAGATACTCAAAACTTATACATGGTATGATTGATATGACTCAGTTACCTACTAATGCATTACATATCTCTGAATTTGACGGACAACAGACCGTACAAGTGGAGAATACCCCTCTACTGATATTCGGTGGCTTGTCTCCGCTGCAGAATTCGGGACGTACAATCTATAGCCAATTCCCGGTTAAGGGGGGAAAAAAAAAATTATAAACATAAGACAGAGTTCCATACACAGTAAATAGCTAGATTTCTATCTTACTATGGCTCATCAAGTCTTATCTTAGGTAGCCCAACTAAACACACCTAAGACGCAACACCCAAACTGCGGGGACAAGCGGAGCAAAAGCTTTTTTGGAGTAAAAAATGACCTGCAGGGATGTCACCAATCTTATCAAGCAGTTGACGCACACCCCCTCAACCCACTCAGGTAAAACCTGTGTACAGTAGTACCTAGTAGGCCACCAAAATGCCCAAGCCAAAAAAGATCGATCCCAAAGCCCAGGCGCGCACCTCACCACCCACCCCCACCATCCCCAACTGGCCACCTCTCCGCCCCCTCCTCCCCGCCGCAGACCTCAGTCTCGTCCCTCTCGTCCCCGACCAGATCTATCTGATCCAGAATTTCTTGTCGAGCTCCCTGTGCAAGGCCTATGCCTCGTTCCTCGCGTCCCTGCCACTGACGACCACACCCGGGAAACCGAAGAAGGATGAGGCAGTGCGCGTGAACGATCGGTTCCAGGTGCAGGATGCGCGGTTTGCGGAGATGTTGTGGAGCGGGACTGCGCTGAAGGAGCTGGTTACGACGAGGTTTGCCGATGACGAGGCCTATAATGAGGATGGAGAATATGAGCCTCTGGCTGCGGAGGAGTTGGCGAAGAAGGCGAAGGAGGTTTGGGGCGGGGAGCCGTTGGGATTGAATCCGAATATTCGGATCTATCGATATTCAGCTGGGCAGTTCTTTGCTCAGCACTGTGAGTAGCCTCTTTTCTTGCATGATATTGCGTTGGCACAGGGTTAATTTGTGATTAGACGATGAATCCAATTCGTTGACCTTTTTGCCTCCATCTGCTACGAAAGCTTGCCCCGCACGCACTACATGGACACTCTTAATTTATTTGACTACCTGCTCTGGTGGAGAGACAGTATTTTATCCCGAACCGACACGCGCAAATCGGAACCCGGAGCCAATAGCTGTGGCACCAGAGATCGGGATGGCGCTCTTGCATCGACATGGGGACCATTGTATGCTGCACGAGGGTATGGAGGTGACGGGTGGAGAGAAATGGGTGCTGCGGAGTGACTTGGTTGTTGCTCGATGATGGGATTATATATTCAGTTGAGGCATTTTCTACTGGCGTTATGGGGGTTGCATTAGCGGAAAACATAAAATACGATCTAGGTATTGACAATGCTCAGATGAATTTTAGTCAATTTGCTCTGCCCTACTATAGGGAGAGAGTACGACGAATTCAAGTAATACAGCAAGATAGTATGACAAGGACGATAGTAGGTACCTGTGTCAGGGAACCGCGCCGCACGTAACACGTAAAAGAGACAAGAATTTGTAGATACACAGAATCATAAAGAGTGTCGAGGTCTGGGAATAGAGAGAGTCGGAAAGGCAACAAACACAGGCATGCGAGGATAGGAACACTGGATATTTGAAGGATGGCTGGGATTTAGAGTGAAAAAATAGAAGTAATTGTATCACACCCAGCATCACGCTCTAGCTTCTTTTCCATGTCCTACTTCGATTTCATCGTATCGTATCACATTCATGAGTCACCGGGAGACTTGGACGCGTCTACCTTATAGTCGGCGCGGCGCATGATGTCCTCCACAGGCCCAAGCAGTCTCTTAAATCCGTCCCGGCCAAGGCGGGCCACCTTGACATCGGTCTTGGTGACAATGCTTGCCGCACGCGGCTTGTCATCCAGCAAGGCCAACTCGCCAAAGTAGTCGCCCCGATGATAGCTCTTCACAGAAACTTCACTCTTCAGCGCCTCGGCCTCGCCTGACTCCAAAAGATAGAATGCATCACCTGGGTCACCTTCGGAAATGATGGTGGCATTGGCAGGGTACTTGATTGTATCCAAGGCGTCGGCGATCTTAGACCGCTCATAGGGCTTGAGAGACGAGAGTAGAGGCACTTCCTCTAAGAAGGCCTCATACATGCGGCGTCGCTGGAATGCGGAATCCATCAAAATCCGCCGGAAAGTGATGCGGTCCAATGCCCAGAGAGTGCTTTTAGCTTCAGTAGAAATAACCGTTGCCGCACGTGGGGCATTATACATCAGGGCCAGTTCACCAAAGGAGCCACCAGGTCCAGTGCTGCTAACCTTGTTACCCAGACCATCTGGGCCGGGCTGCACTGCACCGGAGGAGTGAATATAAATGTCGAAGTTACCGTTCTCCACAATGTAGAAATAGTCACCAGCGTCACCCTGTGAGATCACCTTGATATCCTTGGCAGGAATAGGCTTCTCGACTAGAGCGTCAAGTACAGTCTTGAACTGGTCGTCATCAAGGTGAGAAAACAAGAAGTTCCCACTGACCGCGGTCCTCAACCGCGCCAGCTGCTCCTGCGTTTTGGGGTGACGCGGGGGTGTCCATCCCTCTGCACCGGCTGATGTTGGGTTCAAGGACTCTGCCGATACCGAGGTGCGACGACCTAGCGCATAATTGTTCGGGATTCCCTGTCCTGCGGGGACTGGTAGATCGCCAGGCTCGTCGTCGCCTGCGTTGCCCCCGCCCGATGCTGGTCCCGAGTCGAAAGGACTTCCCCGGCCGAACAAAGAGCCACCAAAGGCTTGTGATCCGTTCTCACTGAATGCGCTTCCTCCGAAAAGAGCGGTCCCTGACAAGGCGCCTACGTTGGCCTGTCGATAAGTCATATCGGTGGGTGACGTCACCTCGAATTCATCATCCTCCGAGATTTTCTGGAAGTTGGAAGATTTATCGGGTCTGTTGGAGTGGACGTATGGGTTAGACCCCGGGAGTGAGCTTTCAGCCATGACTGAACTGTTGATAGGGGCCGGAGAGGCCGCTCCGGCCGGGTAGTTGAAAGAGGGGGTGGATTAGAGTATTGTGTGAAGCGGGCAAATCCGTGTCTGGTCTTCTCCAGCTGTGATGCAGTCAGAAACAAAATTCCGCAGATGTTTAAATGCTGCGGAGGCTGAGTTGTAAATGTGAAGAAGGTAGAGCAATGGGCAGGTGCGGTAGTCTCGGGCAAGGCAAAAAATGGGCATTGACGTATAGTCTAATTGAAAAAGGCAGCGTGGATAAATATCCTAGACACTTGCATCTGATGACACTGGTCTCGGAAAGGATTTTGTGTAGAACAGAAATCCTTGGAAACAGTCTCACCTGGCGGGGTAAAGAGGGTGGAAGGTGCGCACACAACTCACAGTATAATGAAGGAAAAAAGGAAAAGAAGTCGGAGATCCAAAAGGAAGTGATGAGCCGAGCAGGAAGAACTCCAGGTCTCGTGCAAATCAATTGGACGGGGAAGAGAGGGAAAGGGTTAGAGAAGGAGGGGTAACAGGCGAAGAGGAGTAAAGTTGGGGCGGGTTGGTCTGAGCTTCTCTCGCGTCGATCAGCGGTCTTTCCCTTAGTTATGGTGATCGACGTCACTCGTTCCCATCTTTGGTTCAACTGGAAGGTTTGGGAAAGAAAAGATCCAATCGAAGAGCTCGATGATCAATAGTTGGTGGCAGAATCTGGTCTTGTAAAAAGTATAATTTCAATCAAAGTGGACAAGGCCTGCAGGAAAAAAAAAGAAAAAAAAAAGAAGCTTGACGCCCGAGTCTTCCAAGTGTCTTCTAGAACACGGCCGATGATCATTGGCATTGGTCGCCACTATAGTGGGACACGGTGGCAAATTTGGGCTATGACTCTTGAAGTCATGCATTTGGTCAAAGTTACCTTAGAATTTAGTACTTTAGTCTCGTAAATTGATACCTCTAACGTCGCCGTTTGCAGGCTGCAGGGTTTTTATTAGATTACAGTGTTCTCTATAAAGCTATAATTGTCTTCAATCTAAAATCTAAATTCAACTATGAAAATAATTACAGTCATCGTATTATCCGCACAAAGTAATCAATAGAATCCTACATCAGACGGGTAGTGTCGATCGCTGCCCCAAGTCACGTACAACGCAGAGCAGGCATACTCTTGGTCCAGCTTTGAATTTTTCTTAGCTTCAAGCCCATGAATATTAATGACAGGTATAATAATGAAAATTGATTCTCCAATATCACGTCAATCATGGTGAGTTCTGCAAATTTGTATAATATGTCTAAATAGGTAATTAGGAAGGCGCCCGGTTCCGGGGTCTAGATGGTGGCCCAACGATGAAACCCTGGACCCTGTGCGAAAGCTCTGGCAAATTCATGATATGCCTGAGGTGGGAGTAATTACAGTGTGTACTCATGGTAGATAGTAGGACTTGGACCAATTGAAGACATATAATCTTGTCAAATTTTTTTTTTTCTTTTATCTGACAGGAACCTGATCAGTCCGAACTCTTTGGCCCTGGCGCTTGGTCTGTGTCACACCCCACCCGATTTAGAGCTTGGAAGCGCCCTTCCAACTTTGACCTTCTTTCCTCTTCCAACTCTTGTGCGATTTATTTTTTCTGACAGTAGACCTCTCTGGTCTTTGTTGCAGCAATGGGTAGCTACACATTTCAATGGTAAGTTCGTCCAAATCGAATTTTCTGGGGCGTCCGGGAACGTGAAGAGCTCGGGTTCTTTCCCTCTACGCCTGTGGCACAGACTTCTTTCTGAATTGGATCGCTGACTGGACGGTTCCTCGCATTTGCATGTAGGCTTTCTCCCGCGAACGAGGTGTTCGTTACTGGCACATTCGATGATTGGGGTAAGACCGTGAAACTGGACCGGGTAGGCGACGTATTCGCAAAGGAAGTCTCTCTTCCGATCGGGGAGAGTGTCCAGTATAAGGTAGGTGCCTTGTTTTGTCTGACGTTTGCCTATTTTCCCCCTTTCTATTCTTCTCCCCCGTTGTTCTATAGGAAATGCGCCTCAACCGTAGATAAAAGATGCGGTGAGCTGTATTGCCTCAGGCCACAATAGGCACCAACCCCAGTTTTGTATGACGCCTTTGCTTTCAGCTGACGTCACTCCCCTTGTGCCGCTTTCCTCAAACTATAAGACCACCTTGAGCACGCCACAAGAGGGGCTTGCGCTGACTTATTCTCAAGTTTGTTGTTGACGGAATTTGGACTACCGACAAACGTTTACGCGAAGTGAACGACGGTGCAGATAATCTTAACAACGTGCTATTACCGGAAGAGATCCAAACCCAAACCAAGACCCCGACCCAGACCGAACCTCAAACCCTTGACCAGAACCAAAACACCCCAACCACTGCCACTGCAGCTATGTCTGGCGTGACCCCTGACTCCACTACCGCCATGCTGGCAGCCAATGTCCCTAAGGAGGAGCAGAATGGACACCTCCCAGGCGCCTTCCCTGACACCCCGGGACAAGAGTCCGATCAAGTTTTCTCTGTGAATCCAATCCCAGCCTCGGGTGGATACGGGAACCCGGTCAAATTGAACCCTGGCGAGAAGGTCCCCGAACCCAGCACGATCCATGGCAACACCGTTGACTCAACCGTGAAACTGGACAAGGAGTCCTATGAAAAGAGTGACAGTGTGCCCCTCGGCAGTGCTGGAACTCAGATTGACACGGCTGGTCCAAGTGCTTTCAACCTACCCCCAGTTTCCAAGAACATCATCCCTGAATCCAGCCTGCCCATGGGCGGGCCTGCTCAGCGTGCTGCATCTACTGAACAAGAACAACTGCAAGCCGGAGGCCCCGCGCAACAAGCCGCTATGGCTGACCCAGGCTACACTATTCAATCTGCGCACCCCTCCTCCACCACCGCTGCCTTGGCCGCCCAAGTTCCCTTGGAGAAGGAGAAGCAGACTGACCCCGCCATTCAATCCGCCCACCCCACTTCCACTACCGCTGCCTTAGCCGCAGATGTTCCCTTGGAGAAGGAGAAGCAGACAAACGGCACCGCCCCGGTGAACGCCGTCCCCGAAGTGGTGAAGGAGTCTATGAGTGAGGCGCACCGGGATCCTGAGGCGGCAGCCAACAAGGAAGCCGTTGAAGAGAAGAAGGAGGTCGAACAAGAGCTTACCAAGAAGGTCGACTTGGAGGAGTCTGCTGGCACTCCTGCCCCCACCGAGACTGCTGCCACCACTGCCAAGGCCCCTGCCGCCACCAGTGCCGGTCTCACTGCTTCTCATCTGACTGGCAGTGGATTTGACTCCGCCGATGTGTCCCCAACCTCGAGCCCACCCCCAGGCCACGCTGCACCTACTTCAGCCCCTCCTACCTCCGCGCCTGAGACCAAAGCTCAGACTCAACCTACTACGACCACCGGTGTGGAAACTACCCCGACCGCCCAAACCAGTACTCCTGCCAAGCAAACTGCTCCCGCTGCTGGTTCTCAGAGTAGCCACAAGGACGAGAAGAAGAAGCACCGCCTGAGCGGGTTCTTCAACAAACTCAAGGAGAAGCTGAAGTAAATACTCCTCGTGAATAATCTCTCTCTCGGTGGTTCCTTCTTTTCGATGCCATGCCAAGTTCAAAGCTTTAGATGGTGACTATAGTCACTGGGAGATTCCTTCGCTTGTTTGGGGGTTTAATCGTCCATGATTTCATTGTTTTTTGTCTTTTATTTCTGTGTTGATCGTTTTCGATCTGGATACCTCATTTGCACGCACTGCCGCATTGTACTCCAGCAAGCCTTATTCTGTCTTCCTCTAATAGTGCCTTTCATCGAATGCAATTTCGTGTTTCATCCTTACAAACACCACCAGTTGCGTAAAGTATAGTCTGGAATGATAGGATTGTATTACTCCTGTGGATATGTGATATTATATAAAAGTAAAACTCCCCTAAATCTAGGAAAGACTCATGTGCTCTCCAAAAATTCCCCACCTTAGCTCTCGGAAACCTGATGGGCATCAGAACGGTATAGCATTACTGACTTGCCCATTAAGTTTGACCGGGTATCCCAACACACTAAAAGCCCGTTAGCAACCATACTCAAGCTACATCCAAGAGTGGATGTATAGCATACTCTCTCCCAGTCTGCGTGCATCCACAACCACAGAAAATCGAAGCAGGCCAACAAAACACCTATGCAGAGTTAGTCTATAATAGCAGTCACATAAGATGTCTTATTCCATACAGCGGCGACAATCGTACAGCAGAACCCTAATGAGACTAACGTTAGTACATCCTATACCCACGCGAAACGTGCTCAGGCAAACTAACTTACCGAGAGTCGGTCCAACAACCTTACAATGACACGGATTCTGGTCGGTACCGCATTGGAAGCAGATAGGGAAGAATGGAATAAAAGGGACGTCACACATTATGGTGGGTGGAGGTCGAGAATGAGGGATGGGGGTGGAGAGAGATAGAGTCCACTGAGGCTTGAGGATATTCGTTGAAAGAAATGAAGGGTTCGAGTTATTACGTAGCTTTATTTGAGCTTTCCCCAGATTGCAGAGCCGGAACTCGTCTTGAGTTTAGATTCTATCATTATGACGCAGATGAAGTGAGTCCGATCGGATAATTGTGGAGACTTGCATGAAATCTGTAGTCTGTATGCATCGAGATTGTGATCAAGCAAGGTAGAAGATAACTAAACTTTGATTGAGTTATTAGCTATTGTAGGAGATTGGTGTTTTGTAATTTGATAAATTTTACCACGGGCTTTTTAAAATTCTCTTGGAGAATTGACTTTAGATGGTGCAGGATCCCCGGACTCTTTGGCCTCTTGTATTCTTACATGAGTCGCGTGCTCTACGGAGGTGAAACACATATATTAGCGTACCAAGGCCGTTCTAGCTTATTGATTTTGAAGGGATATCCTTGCCAACATACTTTCCCTTCATAGCGGCTCCAGCTGACTCAGAAATCCGGAGTCAGCCCTATACACGAATATTCCAATTGGGCCACGAGACCCTCACGCACTGAAATAGATACCACCTGCAAGTCATCTCAGTTCCTGGACATCAACACCAGCCACCATTTTTGAAGAATGGACCTAGACATCGGGCTAGACTGAACGAACTACGTATTCTTATTCCACATGCCAAAACAGGACAAGCGCCAGCCACATATTTTCTTTTAAGGAAACTACCGCTCTGCACCGCCACACAATCCCCTCAATCAACGTCACAGGGGCCCCAGAACGATGGACACCTGATTCAATCTGGCACTCCTACAGAATTCTCTCTTGCGGATACCCTCTTTTCATTATTTATTGCTCCCAGGCAGCAACATTCACCAAGCGCCCCCATCTGCAGCCTTGGCGCCGGTAGACCTTTTAAAACCGACTCCACTTCAGCCCGATCGCTTTAAAGCCACACATCCCATCTTCTTCACGCGCCGATCTCGATACCTACCAGAGATATTCGCAAAAATGGACGGCCTGAAGAAAGTCATCCCTCTTATCCTCCTTCTCCTTTTCGTCGCTATCGTCGCTTTCGTGGGATATGCTGTCTGGACCGTCGTTCTGGATGTGAAGAAGAATACGCGCGCGGAAATGGAGCGGAAGCACGTTTCTTTCTCGAGGGATGGAATGAAGGTTAGCATGAAGGAGATTAATGATGAGAGTTATAAGGATCGAACTCAGAGGTACGTTACGTTGTGCGACAACTTCCCCCTGATGAACTGTGGGGTTTGGTTTTTTCCTTCCCCGCGATTTTTAGCCACTACTAGTCTGGATTTGGACTTTGTCTGACTCTATTACAGCGTTCTCGTTAATATGTGGAACCACACTTCCTTCCCGGCATACAAAAGTCGTCTTTGGGATATGACGGGGTCATCAGGCTCCAGTACTGAGAATGGTGCTGAGAAGCGCAAGCCGTACGTCTCCCTTGTTGGATTCTTTCTGGAGTTCGCGCGAGGAATCTAACCTGGTAATTTGATAGGCACTCGAAGTAGACACCAGTTCCACTGTGGATTGCCGATCTTAGTACCCATGGACCCTGTAAAATACCCGATTGGGGTTCCTTCGATCTATTGCTCGCGTGCATATAGCGGCATTTGACCCGCGTTTCGTTTCATTTTATATTCTGAGCCTACGGGCACAGGCTGATCTTTCATCTCGATTCTTACCTGTTCTTTTCGTTTTCTGATATACTTCGGGGGTTTTTTTTATACGATTTAGTGGTAATCATGTCATGATGCACAGATTACGATAATGCCTCGTACGCCCAGGATCCTCGCCTGACTCCCTACATGGGTACATTGTATGACTCAGAACTGGGATGTCGCTGGCATTGCCATGACCTGGTTTCATTTTCGGATCAAAATTCGGTTGGACATACTGTAACGTTTTTATATGAGAAAAATTAATTTTTGAAACTACCCTAAGGGCTATTTGGTACGCATATAGCAGAAGATATCATCCATCTGGAATGACTACAGCCCATCCTCTATCACCATGCAGCGTGTCGCTTTACATATCAGCATAGTAGCTGTAATCCTGGTTCAGGAGGTAAAAGGAATCCGGCTCCGGCTGTCCAGCACCACCCAACCACTTGGGGGTAGTAAGTTTCTCGGGCGTATCAGTACGACGCTCATCAGTGAAGACCGTCTCGAAAGTCTTCGCCCACTGAACACGGTTGTTAAGACCCTCCAACTCCCACAGTTCCTGCAAGAAATGCAGAATAGAGCTGTGGGTGTAAGCGGAGTCTTTCTCATACATGGTACCCTGATCGTGGATGAGAGTGTTGGCAGAAAGGTAAGGCGAGATCAGGAAAGCGGGAACGCTAAGCCCCATTAGTATTCAAGTTCGTATCAGGAGACAAAATCACATACCGGACTCCTAGGCGGGTAAAGTCGTACTGCACGACATGGCCGTCGGAGGTACCGTTGAAGGTCATGCCGTCTTTTGGTGCGGGGATGTTCATGGGAGGGGGAACGTGGTCCGCAAAGCCACCGTGCTCATCGAAGTTGATGATCAGCAGACTACAAGTTGAATTAGTGTCCCATTTGAAATGTGCAAGAGTGGTACTTACGCGTTGTCCCAGTACTTGGAGCGACGCAGTGCATCGTACAGGTGCTTGATCATTTGCTCGCCAGAAGCCATAGGGCTGGTCGGGTGCATGGAGTCGATGGTGCAGCACTCGGGGTTAATGTAGGAGAAGGTGGGCAGAGTACCCTCTTCGAGGTCGGTGTAGAACTGGCTGGCGTGATCGAGGCGGTCCATGGCATTGTCTTGAACCCACTGCAAAAGGTCAGCAATTGAAATTCATCGTTTCAGTTTTATATATATTTACCTTGTACATGAACGCATCAACAATGTCAGTCTCATAGTACTAAAATCAAATCGTCAGTCTCCATTGAGCATCATAGTTTTATTTCAACATACGTTCTTCCAGGTGATGTTCTTCTTGGTCAGAGACTCGAAGATAGATGTAGCGCAGGTAGTTCCGGTCACATTGTTCCAGAACCCGGACGACTGGACGGTATTGTCGACAAGACCACAAGAGGATCCGGAAGTCGCAAACTGGCGGTTGACATTGGTTGGGCCAGGGTGCTCAGCGAACTATTTGATTGTTAGCCCTATTAGCGGCTTTCTTACCAACTCGCAACGTACATAAGAATCAAAGAAAGCAAAGTTCTTTGCCAACTCCGCCAGAGTTGCAGTCTTCTTCTCATCGTAGGCCATGATGACAAAAGAAGCATCACCGGGAGTCTCGCTATACTTCTCCGACTGGCGCTCAATGAAGCCGCTCATTTCAGGAGTATCATCGTTAGTCGGATTCCACTTGCGGAAGATCTCGTAGCTGACACCAGCAAAATTGTGGTCTGGGTCCGTCAATGGCACCTCGGTCTCGTAAGGAGCAGCACAGATCTCCAATGGCTCATCCCAGACAGTCCAGTTGGAGTTGGTGTACTCATTGCAGAAACTACGGTTGCGCAGGTTGTCAATGTCCGGGTGGAAGTCCCAGTAACCGGCGATGTTGTCGAAGGAATGGTTCTCAAGGGTCAGGTAGATAACGTGCTTGATCTATGTAAAGACAAAGTGAGTGACAGATCAATGTTGACTTTGTATTCACGTACGTTCTTGCGCAGCTTGTTCCACACTTGAGTGTTGCCCGTCGGAGCAGCCGAAGCCACCGCGATCAGAGCTGAGAGCGAAGCTAACGTCGTAGTCTTCATGCTAGCGGTCACTATTCAGTGAATGAATGCAAGGATTTCTTCTGGGGTTCTCCACAAGATAAGATGTGGAGGGAAGAAGAGATCTTTTATATTGTGAAGACTACATACAACTGACCACGGATTCTTGGCCCATTGCTCATACTTTGCCTACATTTTCGTCTCCCACATCGGCGTGCTCCGTTTATTCTCCAGTTTGGCAAGGTGGACACGCGCAGCCCATCTGTTCTAAGCAGCTTAGCCCGAAGCTAGAGCGAGCACGAGGGAAAGGTCGGCCGCTAATTGCCTATGCCCACCAGTAGGGATATAGCCGAAGTCCTATCAAGGTCGGAGGATTCGGCACGATCCACACGACTTGTGCAACTGATTCCCCATTCTTGCCAAAGTGGGGTGAAGAGGCAAGCTAGCGTCTTCTTGATAAGGATGCATTTCGCTTAGGAGGCGGGATGTAATTAAAAGATTAGACACGTGCGGACGAGATAAAAAAACCCCCATGCATTTCTTGCGAATACTCGTTGATTGAGGGAAGCTGGAAGAGATCCGAAATTCCAGGTACATGTGCATGTTGACGGATGATCCGATCGCGTGTACCTGCTGCGGCATGGCTTCTAGAGCCTATGCTTTCCGCATCGATGCAATCTAGTCAGTTGCAATGTGTGTCGAATGAGGAAACGGCAAGTGGGCCTCTGGTGATCCACCGCTGACATTGCTTTTGTTGTGATTGGTCGGGTATCTTCAACTTTGGCTAAATAAGCACCAGCGGGCCCCACTAATACCCACTTTGGTCATTCATGTAGCAGATCCTCCTCGAATCAGCGTTGCACGTGCCTGGTGTTGCATTTCGCCCGGGGCCAATGTTGATTTTAGTACAGAAATCGCCAAGCACGTTTTGCCTCGAAAGGCTGTGATGGGCTTATGTCTCCGCACGTAACATTTCCAAGCGAGGCACACGCTCATTGTCCCTCTTAAGTCCGGCCATTGCTGATTTTCCTCTGCTTTTTCTCGATCGCTACATTTCAAAACAAACCCTCATCCCTTGCTTGACAATATGTCCATTACCTCAATCAGCGGCCTGATGTCTAACTACTCGCCCTTGTCTGGTCGCACCTCGTCCGTGGAGGATGAAAAGGAATCGCACCGCCGACTGAATCCCGACGTGGAAGCTGGTGAGAAGCAGGTTGCCGAGAAGAAAAGCCGCTGGATCGATGGTCGCACCGTCTCCGATGCCATCATTGGCCTCTCCGACGGCATGACCGTTCCTTTTGCTCTCACTGCAGGTCTTTCTGCGCTGGGTGACACCAAAGTCGTTGTCTTTGGTGGCATGGCCGAGCTTATTGCGGGTGCTATCTCCATGGGTCTTGGTGGTTATCTGGGTGCTAAAAGCGAAGAGTATGTACCCCGCACGAAGATCCCAGTCAAACAGTGGCCTGCAAAGCACTCAAATAGAATCAAACATTAACGCCACGCAGGGAATCATACAAAGCGACACTCAAGGAAACCCAAACACAAACCATGACCGACCCAGCCTCAGTCACTGGTACCATCTCCGAGATCTTTGAGCCTTATGAGCTCCCATCTGAACTGGTTTCCCAACTCACCCAGCATCTCTCCGCCTCGCCTCTACTCCCTTCTTTCCTCATGAATTTCCAACACACACTTCCTGAACCATCAGAATCGCGTGCCGTCATCTGCGCCTTAACAATTGCTCTGGGCTACTTCATCGGTGGCTTCGTCCCCCTTCTGCCTTATTTCTTCGTCGGTCCCCATGAGGCTTTCGTCGCTCTCCGCTGGTCTATCGCTACTATGGTCATTGCCCTCTTCATCTTCGGATACGGCAAAACCTGCTTCGTCAGCGGTTGGCGTGGTCGCCGAAACATCCGTAAAGGAGTAGTGGGCGGCATCCAGATGGTTCTGGTAGGAGGACTTGCGGCAGGCTCAGCAATGGGTCTTGTCAAAGCATTCTCGATGCTGGCTGATGGTGGTAAACCTGGTCACCCAGACCATCAATGATCGCAGTGTGAACTATCTGACAAGCCATTTAATTTGCTCTTTTTTTCTTTTACGGTGTTGGTGGAATGGGCATTTTCAATATCATGTGAAATGGGCGTTTAGCGGTGTCTCTTTTTAACAAACTTCCACAGTTGTGGCTGGAGGTGGTCTTGGGTCAAAACAATCCTCAGTTAACAGCCTTTTCTCGTGGGTTGAGTTATCTAACATAATTCAATCCTCAAAATAAAGATAAGATCAACATTCACTGCCTTTCCTTAACTTTAAATACCACTACCTTGGTACTCAATTGATCTTTTCTATCGTATTTTGGCTCTGCCCAGCCCCCATCATGTTCCTGATTAAATGGCTCGCCACCAAAGCCATAGGAGTTATATGAAACGTCTCCACAAGACTGCATGAATTGAGGCGGTGGCAAGAGGCAAGCTCATGGAGGATAATTCTTCATCTTAGGTGATCCACACAATACGAATGAAGCTTATACGAAGTCCTATTTATATACGCAGATCATATTGCAGGCGGCGATTTGAAGTAAGCAACAGATTCCACAAGATAAGCAAGAGAATTTCAAGATTACACGAGGCGTGAACATAGAATAGAGTTGTGGGGGCTGGAGGCTATCTGGAAGGGGGCCACAAGGACGCTTGGGAGATAAAAGAAATGCTTGATTGTCTAGTTGCATGCACTAGACCACACGGCCCCCACTATATTGTGCAAACTGGTGACAAAGAGAAGACGTTTGTTATAGAAAGTAGGAAGAGAGACCGTGATGTTCATTATTCAAAGAGGGCTGCGAGAGAAGAAAGGATCACAATAGAGACAACTTCAAAGAGCATCAGACATTATATATGCGCCACCAGAGAAAGTTTGCCTTGAGGAACTAAATCCTTCTACCCCAAGTCTTATTTGTGCTCAAGCGTAAAAGTAATTGCCTGAACCTGGCTGTCCAGACCAGCAAAGTATTGTGGTGTATTATAGCTAGTGTCAAATCCGTCGACCGTCCCATGGTCGCAATATCATTCAGATTCAGACAGGCGACTTACTGCCAGTGACTCGCTCCAGGACGAAATCTTTACAAGGTCTGACAAGTTGGCACATTTCCTCTCTGTTTGTTCAACAATGGCTTCAAAGTAATTCATTTGTCAGACGATCAGTATCTTACTAAAAACACGGAAGTTCAAATAACTAACAAGATATCCACCCGGGCATAGCGATGACTATACACTCGATGCTTCTACGCGATAGAAAAGTAGCTGTTCTTGTCTACTCTCCCTATAAATGTATATCGCACCGTCATCCACGGCTATAGCTCTGCCTCGCCCACTTCGATCTTAGAGGGCACGATGATAGCACATATCCTGATTGTCTAGGCCATTTGACCAACCCAACTGCATAGCAAGTGCATGGAAAGCCATAAATCCTTTGTTGGGGATCTGTACAGGCGAGGTTCTAGTAGAACATACGCCGCAGGATATTACCATTATATAGGTGTTGTAAGTCAGCCAAACATGACAGCTGAAGTTCTTCACTGAGCTAGAATGAAGGTGTACGATCTATTCGCGTATCATGTTTCCTGATACCCGGTTCCATCAGAGCCAGCGAGACCCAATGAAGGTGCGCCAATAGCTTTAGGTAGTCCTAGTATTCAAACAGACCATGAGTTGATTCGTGGATGATATCCAAGGAGAATTTCATCTTTAGACTGGGTTAAACCGACTCTAGAGGAATATATGAACCACCCCTGCTAGGCAAGCTCAACAGAATTACTAAAAATGTTCCTTGCAAACAATTAAATTAGATTCTATTTCTCGCTGAAGTCGGTGCCCAAGCTTCTCACTAAGCTCAAGGCACTATTTTTTCTGAAAAAGTTATTCTAAGCTGTTCGACCTCACAAATTTATGCCTTTGTCTCCGAATTTGGATTCTTTCTCATTCCCTTGTGAATTGCATTTGAATTTGACCGTCTAAAAAACCTCATGTTGGCATATTCAACCACCGTTATGAGGTGCAGTGTTACGCCTCAGGAGCAAGGAAGGAAAGCCAACCGAGCTGTATGGATTTTACGCAGCAACGGTGGGAAATGATGTATACCCTCGAGTCTGGACCTACGAATAGGCAATTGCTTTATTCTTGTCTTCTTCAGCTCTGTACATCTACTCTTGATGAAAGGCTATCACTCCAATCCCTTGAAATACAGCCTCAAAGATTCAGTATAAAGTCATAGCATTTACCCCGTCGGTTCAAATCATCCTATTTGTCCTTGATAGGCTCACTAAATGTGAAGGACGATAGAACAGGCTTCTGCTACTACAGTAATCTTCCGGTCGCAGTCTACACGTGCATCTTACAGCCCAGTAATTGAGTCGCTGTGTTATCTCGGTGCTGAATTTTTGCATTACACGACATAGCCTTGGAGATACTCCGTGCTACATGAGCGATGAAATATGAATATATGATGATATCAGAACCAACCGAAGGGATTTTCACTACTCACATATTCTCGCATGATTGAATAGCATTGATTGTGGTAATAATTCAGTGCGAGGTTATGCTTCCCAGAATCACTGCAAAATGACAGTGGAAACCCCTTTGTCTTGTGATACGTACAGCATAATCTTCAAAGTCACATCTCTGCGTTCTTACTTTCATGGATGTAGGCTTGAGGCCTTTTAAAATTTAGGTATCGGAAGATTTTAAATGATATTAATGTTCAGAGCTTTCATCTAAGGTCCGGACTGCCAGTATATATCGTGGGCATTGATGGATTGTCAAAGACATTCCAAAGGTTTAGAGGTACCTAGTCAGAATTTTCCACGGAATAATTAGACCCATGGATGTTCATTGAGACCATTAAGGATAATCTACAGATTACTCAACAATCCTCAGGTTAGACAGAAAGCACGATCCATAGATGGAGACCACGATAGGTAGGATCATCGGATAAAGGTCTCAGACCCCTGGGGGATCTGATAAAAAACCGGGGTATATCGGCGTCGG